GTGAAGCGGCCACCGCCGTCGAGCAGCTCCGTGCCTTCCAAGCCAACAAGTGCGCAACGCTCACGACACGCGCCGCCAGCCGAGCATGTCTCCATAGCCAAGCTTCCGGGCAGGCCATCGGCCATATCGTCCATCGCAACAGCCAAGCCCTCGACGACAGCACTCACTCCGTCCGCAAAGCACGCACCATTCTCCCTGCCCAAGAAGCGCGCTCTGAGCCCCACCAAATCCGACGCGCGCGCCCCACTCGCCTCGCTATCTCCCAATGCACATGTATCCCAGTCGCATACCTCTCCCACCAGGGCCCAGCGCCACGTCAAGCCACTACCACCCTCCCCTCGTCCCCGCAAGCTCCCTCAGTCAACGAGCCTCGCCGTCCACCCGCCGACGTCGCCGCGCCCACTACCCGGCAGCGAGGACGAGTACGACGGCGACTGGGACCTCGATGCGCTCGCAGGCCTGGACGACACGATATTCGAGGCGCCGATTGTATGTTTTTATCCGACCTCAGCCGGCTGACATAACAGAAATATCCCATCGCCAACCCCGCCGTTCCCCCATCACCAGCCGGGTACACGCCATCCCCGTGGGCCCGGTACACCGTCGAGAGCGTGCACAACGGGATCCTCGCGAAGATGCCCGAGGACGAGGACGAATTCCGCGCTGGCGAGGGATACGGCAAGACCCTCGTCGTGTCCGCCCCGTCCGGCCGGCGGCTGCTGCACCTGCACGAGCGGTGGGCCGAGCTCTCCCTGCGTGCGGGGGACATCGTGAACGTCGTCTCGGCCGATCTGTCCGGCGTCTCCCCGATCTCATTCTCCTTCAACACCCCCTCGTTCCTCATCGCGCACCCCGACATCCTCGTGACGATGACGGGCATCGCGACCGCGATGCCATGCGTGCGCCGCCCGCTGCTGAACCAGCGCGTGCGGTTGCCGGAGCCGCTGTCCAAGCCCATCGTATACGGCAACATCCTGCACGCGCTGCTGCAAGAGAGCTTGCGGGACGGCACGTTCGACGCGGGCGCGACGCGTGCGCGCGTGCGCGCCGAGCTGGGGCGGGACGAGCGGCGGCTCGAAGTCTGGGGCGCGGGGCTTGATCCCGAGGCGGTGATCAACGACTTGGGGGCGAGGGCCGAGGTCGCTTTCGCGTCGTTTGAGCGCCGGTGGATCGGCGCCGCGCCGAAGGTGAGCGAAGCGGAGGCATGGCTGACGCCAGGCGGAGGGCACGGTCGTTACGGCGCGCGACGAGGGCGTGGGCACGGTCGCGATCAGCGGGCTGCATGATGTCGAAGAGGATATTTGGAGCTTGAAGTGGGGCTTGAAGGGCAAGGTCGACGCGAGTGTCCAGGCCGTGCTTGAGCGCGACGGCGAGGAAATGGAGGTTGTCGCACCGATGGAGATCAAGACCGGCCGCTCGATCGGCGGGGTGCAGCACCGCGCTCAGACGCTGCTGTATACCCTTTTAATGGAGGACCGGTATGGTGAGTGCTATGCCGGACGCGCTCACGTCAGGCCTTCCCGTCCCCGCTGGCCTGCTGTACTACTCGCAGCGGGACGCGATCGTCCTCGTCGAGGCGCGCGCTAACGAGGTGCGCGCGCTCGTGCAGACGCGCAACGAGTTGGCAGAGTACATGGTTCGCGGGGGCGGCCGTGAGCCCATCCTCCCGCCGCCCATGGACAGCGAGCACGAGTGCAAGAACTGCTATGCCGCCGACGTTTGCATGCTCTACCGGCGAGCGGATGGTGAGCGCCCCGACGACGGTGCGGCCGCCTTTATTGACAAGGCCGCGCATATCACCGACACCGACGCCCACTTCTTCAAGCATTGGGAGCGCCTGCTCACGCTCGAAGAACAGGACACGGTGCGGCTGCGCGCGCAGCTCTGGACGATGGGCGCACACGCGCGCGAGGCCAAGGGGCGGTGTTTCGCCGACATGGTCATTTCGAAGGAGGAGCACGAAGGCGGCGCGCTCAGTAAAATCAATCGCTGGGTGTACACGTTCACGCGCGCGGATCCGCAAGCTGGCTCACTTCTTTCGGGGCACATTGCGGTGAACGATCCAATCTGCCTTTCCGTCGAGCCCGACTTGCTCTATCTCGCCCGAGGCATGGTCACGTTCCTCACCGCGGACACGGTGATTGTAACCGTGCAGAACAAGCTCGACGTGCAGGCCAAGTTGAAGCGCGTGCGCTCTACCGCCGCGCCTGTTTTCCGCATCGACAAAGACGAGCTGAGCGCGGGCATGACGCGCATGCGGGGCAACCTCGCCCATCTCTTCGTCAAGGGAGGCGACGAGCGCCGCCGCCGTCTTGTCGTCGACCTTGCCGAGCCGCAGTTCGAGCGTGAGCGCTCGACGGAGATGGACGTCTCGTCTCGCCTCAACGATGACCAGTGCGCCGCCATGGCCAAGGTGCTCTCGGCGAAAGACTACGCTTTGATCCTCGGCATGCCGGGGACGGGCAAAACAACAACCGTGGTCGAGATCATCCGCGCCCTCGTCGCGCGCGGCCAGAGTGTGCTGCTTACCAGCTACACACACTCGGCTGTCGACACCATTGTCTCCAAGCTCGTCGGTGCTGACTTCGGGGTGCTCCGGCTGGGCAATGCCGAGAAGGTAAATATTGCTGAGACGCAGCTGACAACAGGTCCACCCCGATGTGCGCCACCTCACGCTCGAAGCCATGGGCCCCGCCACCACGCTCGGCCAGCTCGAATCCCGCCTCATGAACCCGCCCGTCGTCGCAGCCACCTGCTTGTCGATCGACCACCCACTCTTCAAGCGCCGCCGCTTCGACTACTGCATCGTCGACGAGGCGAGCCAAATCACGCTTCCGACTTGTCTGGGCCCCTTGCGCTGCGCCGACAAGTTCGTGCTTGTCGGCGACCACTTTCAACTACCTCCCATTGTGAGACGACTTAGTCCCAAGCTAACAACAGGTGCGGCATCCCGAAGCCCGCTCCGGGGGCCTCGACGTCTCCCTCTTCCGTCGTTTGAGCGAAGCGCATCCCGCAGCCGTCGCCCCGCTCGCGGCGCAGTACCGCATGAACGCGGACATCATGGCGCTCTCCAACGCGCTGATCTACGAGCAGCGGCTGCGCTGCGGCTCATCCGCTGTCGCGGAGCAAGCGCTGGTGCTGCGCCCGCTGAGCTGCGCCGCGCTCGGCGGCGCCTGCGCCGAGTGTTGGGTGCAAGACCTGCTGCGGGCGGAGCGCAAAGCCGTATTCGTCGACACGGACGGGATGCCGGCGCGCGAAACGCGTGCCGGCGAGCTCGTGCAGAACCCCACCGAAGCCGCGTTGGTCGGCACGCTCGCCCGCGCCCTCGTCGCGGCCGGCACGCGGCCGGCCGACATCGCGGTTATCACGCCGTACCGGCAGCAGATCAAGCTGGTGCAGCGCGTGCTGCAGTCTTCTCCCGATATCAGCGGGGATATCGGCGGTATCGAAGTGCTCACGGCCGACCGCGCGCAGGGGCGCGACAAGGCCGTCGTGCTCGTGTCCCTCGTGCGCTCGAATGACACGGGGGCTATTGGCGAGCTGCTGCGCGATTGGCGCCGCATCAACGTCAGCTTTACGCGCGCCAAGGCTAAGCTCGTCGTCTTTGGGAGCGCAGGCACGCTCGTGGCGGATAAGCTGATGGCGGAGTTCGTCGCGCTCATGGACCGCAGGGGGTGGATGCTCCGCTTGCCGCGCGACGCGTCGTTGCATGGCACGCAGGTGCCGCCTGAGGATGCGGAGAGGGCGCGGCGCAGCGTCGTCGGCGGGCGTATGTTGGAGACGCGGCCGCTTATCAAAGAACTGTTTGCGGGCGAGTAGAAGGCCTGTCCTTCCGAAGCGTCGAACTTTAGTTACAGTGTCCACAGTGATCCTCCTCTCCCCTCCCCCCCCACCCATCCATAGACCACCACGGCTTGTGCCACCATGTTGTAGTGTACCCCACCTAACCATGTGTTTGTAGCTGATACATGCATGCAATCGTAACCTACCGTCCCATCTATGTCCCAGTCGCTAAATAAACGCCGCCCCGCCGTCCGGAAGCCGCTCTATCTGGTACTTGTGCTTGACGACGTACATGAGCGGCACGCCGGGCACTTTGCGTATCCGTCGCCGGAGGTCGCGGTCGCACTGGGGTGAGATTCGTGCACGAGTTGCCTCGACTTACCGTTGCTACGATGTAACACTTGTGCGCCGTCACGCGCTGGACGAGGCAGTCGTCGGCGTATGTCCCCGAGTCTGGTGTTAGCGCTACAGACAAGGGAAAGCTCACGGTCGCAGTGCAGCCGGTCGAATCGTGGGTCCTTGGCAATCTTGAGCGCAAGGCGGTACTTTGGTCCCAGCTTCTCGAGCTCGGCAAGCACGCAGTCGGTGATGGTTGGGATGCCTGAGATCAGCCGAGGACTCATCTGTGATTGAGCTCAAGCAACTCACACTTGGCCATGAGGCAGTCCATCATGCCCTGCACCAGCTCAATCTTGTTTTGGATGCTGAAGTTGATAAAGTTGGTGTCGACGAGGATGCGGTACGGCGGCCCGAGGTCCGTGTTGTGCGACAGGAACAGCGACGCCGACACCTGCGTCCTAAAGTCAGCTGATGTAGTCCCGCAAAAACGCACACCTGGCGCTTCTCGGCGGCCGCGGCCTCCTTCGCCGCCTTCTTGGCCGACTTCTCAACGTTCTCCTTCCTGCTATCAGCTGCTGCCCGCCGTTGCTGGCTTACAGTCGCGGGTCGCTCGGCTTGAGCATCCGCTTCACGGCTGCAAACTTGCGCGTCGTCTTGGCTTTTCCCTGCTGTCAGATGGGACTGTTGGCGAGAGCTGTTCTCACCATGGTGGATGTGTGAGTGGTGGTGACGGAGTGGTGAAGTCACCTTGAAGCGAGTTTCAATATTTCTGGGTGGCAACTGCAGGTATGCATCCCTGTAGGGGGTCACGTGGGATTGATTCCGCCAGACATGGGATGTTGACAAAAATGGTTCCGTCCTTCACCTCCACTTGCTCACTCCATCTCTGCCCCTCCCAACACTCCTCGTCAACGTCCTCCCCGTCACATCCATCTACATGCCACCACAAGACGCACCGTCTCCCACTCCCTCAGTTGCTGGAAAGCGGGCGCGCGGATCCGCTGGCCCAGCGGCGCCGCGCAACAAGCGCCGTAAGGGCGATGGAACCGGAACGCCTGCCCCCGACAGCGGCCCGGAGGGGCCGTCGCGGAGTAAGCCCGTCAACTTTGCACTGGGAATGGTCAAGGGGCGCGAGGAGGAGTGGAGCGAGCCTGCAGACGTTAAGACGAAGGTGAGTCGGCCGGGCTGAGCGGGATGCAGGGTACTGGTACAATGCGTTGCGGCTGTGTCCCCCGCAGGGTGGTCTTCCTTACCTTGACTAATCCCAGATCAACTTCCTTGAGATGCCCACAGAAGCGTTGTACGGGTATCTCGAGGCGAACGACATCCTCCCTCACTGGGACGTCTCGCCCTGGTCCGAGATGCCGTGCACACCGCGTGAGGATGCCGTCTATAGTGTGACTGACGAGCAGCAACCATGAACGCGCTGTACACGATCCCACCCCCACCGCCCATCGTGCCCATCAACCCCGAGCCGAAGGAGAAGGAGCCACAACCTGAGCCCGTCGCTGAGTCGAAGCCTGTCACAGACGACCTGGAAGTGGGCGACGAGGCCCTGGCCCCGCCCACAACGCGCAGCAAGACTGCGCCCCACCGCCAGCCGACTAGCTCGTCGCCCGCCCCCAACCCCGCCATCAAGAGAGGCGTCATGACCCTGTCAGACATCCACGCAGCCCATGCCGTGCTCGCTGAAAAGGCTAACCAGCACTGGGCCAAGGGTCTCGGCGGCGGCCAGAATCGTGAGAGCGAGACGATCGTCCACTTCCTTTACAAGAACAAGGTCGGCCACAGTGAGTTTCGGCCCACGAATAAAAGCTTACGCAGACCGTCTGCTGCGCGTTTTCAACCCCGCGCCGGCGCCGTTCAACTAGGCTTTCTCTCTGGTGAGGGTTCGCGTCATTGGATGCTCTCCACCACGACCCGCCAAATCCACTTCCTCCAGTCCCTCCTAACATCCTGAGATGATGTTAAGATCATCCCCTCTTGGTAGAAATACCCAGGCACCTGACACCCACTTGTCAGTGCTTTGCCGTTGTTGTACATCAGTCGACCTTGGAGTCGCATTCTAGCTGGGATTGCCCATATACCCTGTTCTGTATGCAGTGATAGGCGTGGCCGTTGCTTGATGCGCCTAATGGAGTGATAAATACGCGCTACGCGTGTCGCGGGATCAAAACGCGACGTTATCCCGTCCCTCTGTTTAAGGCCATGCCCTCCATCCCGCCGTGTTGTTCTCGTGCGGTGTGCGGCTTGTGCGAGGTGACATCTCTCATCTCTCTTCCACACCATCCATCCGGCATCCATCATGTCAACACCAAAAATCTCTTTCAAGGTGCCTCAGGATGACTCCAACGCGCTTTCTGGGGACGTCACTGCCCACGATATCGCCAGCGCCCCGGGCAAGGAGCGCGAGCGCGAACCCCTCTTCGGCGGAGACACAGCCAACATCAGCAATTCGGACGCAATGGATGTTGACGCAAACGGAGGAGGTGTGTCACCCATGAATGCTGCCGTGCTGGTGCAGTCGCTTACGAGACAGAGTCATCAGGCGCGCTGCAGTCCGCCTCGGGAATGGCGGGCGCGTCTCCAAGCCTCGACCCTCCCGCAGACGGCGCGACGCCAGCGGGTGCGGGTGACGCGCGCATGAGTTCTAACGACTTGCACGCGCTCGCTACAACGTACCTCGCGAGCCAGACGCACCCGCTTGTCGTGCCTTCGTACTCGTCATGGTTCTCCCTGTCGACCATCCACCCGATTGAGCGCAAGTCGCTCCCCGAGTTCTTCAGCAAGCGCAACCGTTCAAAGACACCCGCTATCTACAAGGACTACCGCGACTTCATGATCAACACGTACCGCCTCAACCCAGGAGAGTACCTTACCGTCACTGCCTGCCGCCGCAACCTTGCCGGCGATGTGGGTGCGATCATGCGCGTTCACGGCTTCCTCGAGCAGTGGGGCCTTATCAACTACCAGGTCGACCCCGACACGCGCCCCGCACCTCTCGGCCCGCCTTTCACCGGCCACTTCCGCGTGACCGTCGACACGCCCAAGGGGTTGAGCAACTTGCACCCGGGGAGCAAGCCCGGCACGGGAGCTCTGGCAGCATCCAACGGGATCAAGCCCCATCCGACCAACCTCGACCTTCGCAAGGTCATCTACCAGAGCACGGCCAAGACTACAAAGCCTACGACCGAGGAGAACGCGAAGGCCGCCGTCGAGCAGAGCAACGGGGCCGCACCGCCCCAGCCCAAAAGCTACGCGTGTGAGACGTGCGGTACCGACTGCACGCGTACGCGTTACCACTCGCTCAAGGACGGCGAGTACACTGTGTGTCCGAGCTGCTACGTGAGCGGGCGCTTCCCGAGCACCATGTTCTCGGGTGACTTTGTGCGCCTCGACGACGAGGTGTTCAAACACGGCATGAGCGGCGCCGGCCCCGAGTGGAGCGACCAGGAGACACTGCTGCTCCTCGAGGGTGTCGAGATGTATGACGACGACTGGAAGGCGGTTGCGGATCACGTTGTCACTCGCAGCAAGGAGCAGTGCATCGCCAAGTTCCTGCAGCTCCCCATTGAGGACAGCTACCTGTCCGCGGACCCTGCTGCCCAGCTTGGCCCGCTCCGCTACCAGGCCGGCATGAACGGCGTTCCGTTCGAAGGTGCGGAGAATCCTGTCATGAGCGTCGTCACTTTCCTTGCCTCCGCTGTCGGTCCTGCAGTGGCCGCTGCCGCCGCGCAGAGCGCGCTCGGTGAGCTGGCGCAGAGCCTGAAGAGAAAGCGGAAGAACGAGGACACGGAGAAGGAGGGCGAGAAGCGCGCCAAGTCGGAAGACATCAAACCCGAGGCAGGGCAGACCGGCACACCCGACGCGACCGAGGAGGGGGAGAAGGACACGTCGGCTCCCAAGGAGGTCTCGGCGGAGGCGGACGCGGTCGCGGAGAAGGATGGTGACGCGCCGACCAAGAGTTCATTGGAGCGGGCTGCGAGCGTGGCCCTCGGTGCGGCGGCGGCCAAGGCGGCGACGCTGGCAAGTCACGAAGAGGGGCGCCTGAGCGCGCTCGTGTCCCGCCTCGTGGCCGCGCAAGCGCGCAAGGTCGAGCTCAAGCTCGCCCTGTTCGAGAAGCTCGAGGACGTGCTCGAGGACGAGAAGCGCAAGCTCGAGCTCGACCGCCAGCGCCTCTTCCGCGACCGCCTGACCGTGCAGAAGCAGTTGTCCGAAGTCGAGCGGCTGCTGGAGCGTGCGCGCAACGAGCCCAAGTCCGTAACGGGTGCGCAGGTTGATGCCGTGCGTGCTGCCCTCGCTCCCAACACGGCCGAGCAGGCCGCGCGCCTCGCTCCCGAGGCGGAGGCGGCGGCTGTCGCCGCGCTACAGACCGAGACAGCGGCGGTGCCGACGGGTGAGGGTGCTCAACCACCGCAGGAGCAGCCTTCTGTCGCGCAGCTCTAGATTGTTCGTAGTATGCATGTATGATTAGGACTGCTGCGCGAGAGCGGCTTGGGTGCGAGGTGGATGGCGAGCGACGATTCCCGTGCGGATTCCATGAAAGAGGAGTGACGTACTTCCCGGACCTCCACCACGCGCTGCCACTTCGACGCGTTGCAACTTTCCCTCGCACCCTCAACTCAGCATGTCAGACATTGCAGATGACGAGTACTGCCGCCGCCTGCCCAAGGTCGAGGTGTGCCCAGCTCCGTCCCACGCTGATGCCAGCTCCACGCCCATCTAAGCGGCAGCGTGACGCCTGCCGTCCTGCAAGAAATATGGGCGGACCTGCCCGCGGCCGAGCGCGCCTCCCTCACGCCTCCGCTCGAAGCGCTCGCGGACCCCACAGGCGCGCAGGGGATACGTACGTTCTTCGCGCACTTCAACACGTACATCTACCGCCTGCTCTGTACGCCCGGTGCGCTGGCGCGCGCGACGCGCGCCGTCCTGCGCGGCTTCGCGGACGACGGCGTCGTCTACCTCGAGCTGCGTACGACGCCGCGCGCGCTCCCCGGCGCGCCGGCAGACGTGGGCGTCCGCGTCGTCTTGGACGTCATCGAAGAATGGAACCGCGCAGAGTCCATGCCCGTGCGCCTCATCCTCTCGGTCGACCGGGCGAAGCACGGGCCGGCGGAAGCGGAGGCGATCGTCGACCTCGCGCTCGCGCTGCGCGCCGAAGGCCGGCCCGTCGTCGGCCTCGACGTGTGCGGCGACCCGGCGGCGCCGCGCCCCGTAGCCGCCCTCCGGCCGGCGTTTGCGCGCGCGCGCGCCGCGCACCTCCCCTGCGTCCTGCACTTTGCCGAGATTCCCGCGTCGACGGCCGAGCTCCACGAGCTCTTGGACTGGCGGCCGCGGCGGGTGGGCCACGCGATCCACACGCCGCCCGAGATCGTGGAGCGCATCGTGCGCGAGCGCGTCGGCGTAGAGATGTGTCTCTCGTGTAATGTCCTCGCGGGCATGTTGCCGTGCGCCGAGCGCGCCGACGCGCGGCCGGGGATTGCAGACCACCACTTCGGCGAGTGGTGGCGCCGCGGCGGGGCGATTTGTCTTGGCACGGACGATATTGGGGTATTCGCGAGTAGCAGTTCGGAGGAGCATGCGCATGCCGCGCAGCACTTTGGGCTCGGGCGCGCGGACTTGCTCGAGCTGAGCAGGCGGGCGGTCGCGGGCGCGCTGGACGAGACGCAGGGCCCGAGGGTGGAGAGGTTGTTAAGAGAGTTTGCGGAGAGGGAGGGCGTCGAGTGGGCTTACGGGGTACAGTCATGGCAAGAGTGTAATGCATAATGATAATATTGGTCTACATGTGGTATGATCGTGAGCTGGTCATGCTGCCGTGTCGTAACTGTGGTTCTGTCGGAGTCATCCCTCGTAGCATCCGTCTGGCTTGGCGAGCGCGACCATTGCCAGCGCAACGAGTTTTATCCCAACTGCGATGACCGCAACAATCCACGAGCTCGAGTAGCGGTGCATAACCGCGCCGAGGAACGAGCCACCGATCATCGCGACGACATAGTACAAGCGGCGGTTGCGGCTGACAGCCTTGGGGTCGTTCCACCCGGTGAAGAGGTAGTGGTCGGCGACAAAGTCGACGAACGTCGAAGTCATGGGTGCGGTAGGGAGTTCTTGGCAGCTGCTCTGGCGGGCCATGGCGACTTGGCCGCCGCTCATGAGTGCGAAGAGGCTGAGGATGACCCAGTCGTGCGGGCCGCCGACGTGGGTGACGGCCGGGCCGTGTGGCGAGAGGAGGATGCACGCGACGACGAGGAAGAGGGTCTGGAGGGCGGTGGATACCATCAGCCACGTACGGCGGCGCACGCCGACAAAGTAGCCGACCTGTCCGAAGACGAAGGCGCCGGCGAGGAACGAGCCGAACGACACGGCTGTGCGGATGAGCAGCGTCGTCGACTGCGACACCGTGCCGACCGCCGCGACGGTCAGGAGGATCGCGTTGCCCGTTTGGTTGCTCGCGAACGTCATAAAGTCTGTGTATGTCGTGGCGTCCAGCAGGCCCGTCGCGAGCGCCTGCATCACGAGGGCGGGGACAAGCGCGCTCGTCTTTACGCTCTCGTTCGCCCACATGTGCCATGTGCGCGGCACCTCCTCCGTCTGCGCTTCGGCATCAAAGTCGCTCTCGCTCTTCGGGAGATATCTGAAAATGCGGTCGCGGCGGCGCTCGCGCATCGCCTTGCTTAGGCCGCCGGAGTCATCGGCCTTGGTGCTCGTTGTATCGGCGGACGAGCGCCCGCTCTCCTCCGGCACGGGGGAGGTGCGGGGCGCGAGGGCGAGAGATGGTGTCTCATGGGCCCGGTGGTGCGGGGTGGTGTACGACGAGTGTGGCGCTTCTGTATCAGAGGGTGATGGCGGGAGGGAGAGGGGTGGTGGAGATACGTGGCGGGTTGGAGGGGAGAGTGGTGATGCCGACGGTTTGGGCGAGCGCAAGTCTGATGGAGAGGCACGCGGCGAGTTTGTTGATCCTGCTTGCGCTGCCCGTGGTCGCGCACAGTCACATGTACAACCGCACACGGGGCAGGCTTCGGCTCTCCCTCCGCCAGGCGTCGAGGTTGTTGACCGGCGGACTGAGGACTGCCGCCGTGGGCGTCCAGGTAAAGAAACGGTGGGAAAGGGTGCGATGTCGCGCGAGGCTGCGGCCGCTTCTCGTCGCTCGGCGAGGACATGCTCGCACGGCTCGGCCATGGCGGGCAGGTGGGTGTGAGAGGGGAGCGCTGGAGAGGGGAGAGCTTGGGAGCGTGGTGGTGGAGAGGATGTCGCGATGGCAGAAGTGGCAAGCAAGGAACCGCAGGGGATGGCGTTGAGAATGCACTCCGCAGCGAGCAGAGATGTAAGTGAGTGTGGCAGTGAGCAAGAGTGTGGTGAGAAGATGCAGCAAACGTGGTCAGTCCCGCGGCGGAGACGGTGCATGTATGCAGCTGCCGACGCTGATTCCAGAGTTGAGAAGCTGTTAGGATGAGGTATTCCAAACCTTGGGCCTTGGCGCCAGGCGCATCCATCGGCATGCTCCGACAGCCAGGCGCGCCGGGTGGCAGCCTGAATCGAGCGCCGAGAATTATCTCGGGCCGTGGGGGGCTGGAGCTGGACGACGGAGCAGGCGCAGAACGGCGAGGGTGGAGCGGGGAGGGCATGACGTTGAATATGGACATGTACGAAGAGTTTGAAGGGAATGAATGGCAACTCTACGAATATTCCAACAAAGTCCCGATTTATCACCCCCTCAATTGGCCACCCATCTCCCTTGGCAAATACTCCATTTGCCACCAAAGTCCAGATGGGGGTGGGCATGCTTTGGCGCACGCAGCGTCTCGGTCAAGAGTAATGCAATCATCTCTGTCTAGTGTACAATGCAACTTAGTAGCGGCCCAAGTCTTCCTGCCCAAGCATATGGACCGTCGAGGGCGGTGCGGGGTTGAGCTCGCGACTGGAAACTATTAGCGGGAATGCTTTGAGAATGGGAATGGGAATGGCCTCCTGCCAAGCTACTCTCGGCTTTGACCGTACGCCACACAATCTCAGAACTCACACTGCAGCGCCCTTCTTCGTGAGCATCCAGCGCACGACCATTGGGTCGCGGCGCAGCGTCTCGTTGATGCGCTTCAACACGACCGGCGAGGTGTCAAATGACATCGTGAAGTGGCTGGCGTCAGCCTCGGTCAAAGTCCAGGGGTCCCAAGCCGTTCAAATGTCGGATCGAGGAGGAAAGCTGTGGTCCAAACCCCGACACGGTCTACTATGCGGTGGCGCTGCGTATAGGCCAAGGGCAGCTCGGTATGTCAGAGGCAAGGTCTCTGAAACGTGAACTTGGTCCCGGTGTCCCGCAGTGTTTTGTCCTCCACTCCGCAGTCCAGATCCCGGATACAGTCCCTCGCTCCGAGCCAGAATACTCACTCGCCGCGCTCGTGAAACTGCTGGTTGCGCTTCATGCGGTAAGGTAGCGTCAAGCCGGCACCAAGTGCGCGCAGGTCGCGCACAACACCGCCTGTTCCGTGCACCTGGTTTGCGACGGAACGGATCAGCTGCCGGAGGCCGGCCTGGGGTGAGCGCTCGATCAAAGGGGAGAGATTGGTGGGGGGAAGGGGGGGGCGGGGGGAGGGGGAGGGAGCGGACAGGTGGACGTGAAGCAGGAGAACAGGAGCAGCCTGGGACAGCTGCGGGGCACGAGGACCGCGAGGGGTATCGCAGACGTCCAGAGACAATTGGAGGCCCAGAGCGACGGCCGGCGAAACGAGAGGACTGGGCTGTGCTGAAGGCAGTAACGCGAAGACGAGGACAGTAGTGGACGATGGATGATGAACGGCCTCCGCGCGAACTGAGAGCGGCCTACTCGCGTGCAGACATGGAGGCGCGGCGTGAGGCTGCAGAGGACGGTTTCCTGCAGCGGCGGAATCTCTCGTCCGTGCCGAGGCAGGTGCGCCTGCCGCGGTCCAACGTGGCCTTGTATGCTGATGTCGCGCGATGCGTGGCGCATCCAGTTCCGCCAGCCTCGATGTCATACTCGGACGTCCGCCGAGCCTGGCGTCCTGCGAGCGTCGAGCCGTATTCGAGACCTTTGTCGCTGGCCATCCTGTTGTCCTGTCCCGCTATCTCGCCGGACTCCAGTCCCTCTAGGTTCGGACTTTCTCAAAGCACCTCCACATCCATGGCCTCCAGCCCCAGGCGTGTTCCACCAGCCCGCGCCATTCTTTCCGCGGATCCCCTCCCCGTCGCTCGTACTCACTGGTGATGTTGGGTTGTGCGAGGCGATGCAAAAGAGCTCGTACAGCGGCATGGCGGGGTGTTGTGGTTGCGGTGATCGTGCTTCACGCTTGGAAACGCGAAGAGAGCTGGCTGTCCATCTCCGACATCTCGGGAGAAAAGTGAGAAAATACAAACCCATTCCACGTGGTTTGTCTAATATGGTCGAATACCGTTGAATGAATACGTTGATTTATATTAGACACCTGCGCTCCTTGCGCTACACTGACTGCACACTCTCTGCATCACTATACACGTCTATCCCATATGCCCGCCCATGTCGTGCTCTCGTGATCGTGCCGTGCTCGTCCTCATATGCTTGTATCTGCACAGGCCCAAACTCTACACTTATGCGTGTGGGGGGTGGAAGTCTTCGTGGGCGTCATGGAATTCGTCATCCGAGATGGTCGACGCAATTGATGCTCTACGTGGATCCTCGCCTTGCCCGTCCTTCCCTGGATGAGCATTAGTGACCGCAGCCAAGGCATCTACTCCTTTAGGCGCGGCGGGTACTGGGTGCTGCTCATCGGCCATGTGGACGCTGTTTTGCCGGGGGGCTGCCGAAGGCCGGGTGGTGGTCTGTGAAGGAGCGGCGTTCGTGACAGGAGCAGCTCCACGTCCTCCTGCTGCCGCGCCAGCCGCAGCAACACCTGGAGGCCCAACCGCCGCCTGTGTCCGTGCTGGAACCTCCGTAGAAGCGGGAGTCTGCGTAGTCCGCTGGGTTTGAGGTGTTGCTGCCTGAGCACTCGCCGACCCTGTCGACGAGCTTACGGGGGGGACCTCAACGGACAGCGCCGGAGTGCTCGTGGGCGGCGCTGAGCCGGCCGGCGGTGGCCCAGGAACGCGATCGCCAAAGATAAAGTTGCGCACAACAGCCTCCAACTCGTCTACGTCCTTGGGCAGCTTGTCCACGTCGAGCTTGGGCATAAACTTGTCCCCAACAGGAACGAAAAAGCGAGGTGTGGGAGCCGGCTCCCCGCGCTCGGCACGCTGCTGGCGCAGCTCGCGTTGACGGTCTTCCACTGCCGACTTGGCAGCCTGCGCCGCGTTCATGTCCGCGGCCTTGATCGCGTCGGTAAGCTTGGCCCATAGTCTAGTCATCAGCCCGTAGTCCTTTTCAGAGGCTGTCGACGGCAAGTGCTCCCACAGCAAACTCACCGCCTCGACTCATTCTCCTCCTGCATCGACTCGGGAAGAACCGCCTTGGCGACGGCCTTGGACTTGGAGGCGTCAAACAAGGTCGACTTCTTTCCTCCCTTCGGGTTGAAGTCGATCGTCCCGCTCCACATGCCGTTGATCTCGCCCTCCAATTTACCACCAGGGCCTGTGACCTTACCCGAGATGAGGTTGTAGCCGCCCGAAACCCATCCCTGCATTCAGCTACGCTGAGTACGCCGGGCTTACCTTGGTCTTGAAGTCAACGTCACAGTTGTAGCCAGTCACATCATTCCGAATCGTCGACAAGTCGCCGAGCTCGAGCAACATCTTGCCAAACAGAATACCGCGCGCGTAAGTGTTGGGCATCTGTGTGTCAGCGTGTGCGCCGTCTGACCACGTCACGACATACCGAAATGCAGTACTCGCCGTCGTCCGGGCGGTTCAGGAAGCGAATGCGGTCCTCGCCTTCCATGATCGTCGCTGCCGAGTTTCCGAGGAATCTTGACTTGGGCTTGAGCTCTCCGGTGACGAGGATGCCATTCTTGGGCGAGACGTAGAAGAATGCGGAGATGGGCTGAGGTAAGCCAAAATGACACGATCAGCGGCTTACTGGGTGGTGCGAGACCTGCTCGGCAACATAATATCCTTGCGATCCGTCCGGGTAGTAATAAGTGCAGCGGTAGAACTCGTTCAGAATTGGGTTGTAAGGCTTCTTTACGCTACGCGTGAGCAAAGTCGAGCCACAGCAAAGGAAAAGCCTGACTCACCCGCGAGGCTTGATGTGCCACCCAGAGAGGTAGAATGTCATGATACGCATGAAACGCACGCGTGCGTCGGGATCTTGTCCAGCGCTGTGTATCAGTGAATAACTTTATACCGGTGCAGAGCCAGCTGGAACCCAACACAATGCACGAGTTCTCGCCATGCACGTGGCGAACGGTAAGGCGCGGGCGGCCTGGCGACGGAATAGCCTCCCGCCACCGCCACCTGAGCCAGCACTTCTCAAATACCACCCCACTCCGTACGCACCCAAAGATCAGATCCGGGTGCGAGAAGAAGTCAGTAATGCGCTCGAGCAACGACCGTGGCTCGAGCACAAAGGTTGGGAGTGCGATCTTGGTAAGGTCCATTCCCGGGCGCACTTGGGTTAGTCTCGTTTCGCTGGAGCAGAGATAGCAGGAGAAGGTGCGGTAGTAGTGGGCGCAAATCGAGGGTAGAACAGCACGGCGAGCACGACCTTCAGACTGCTGAACGCGCACCACGCCGGCGATCGCGTCGGGACGATGGGCTCAGTTATACCGCTCATCGCACAGGTCCGAATGCATCGGACGACGATGTGAATGACAGGGGAGGGCGAGTGCTTCCGATGGCTATCATTTGGGCATGACGCGATGTCGTATCACGTTTGCTTAGCCACCAGAGATGCCGCGACGCGTCGTCGTGACGTGCCGTCTCCGTCGGCTTTTGCCGGGGTATGCCATGGAGCGGCTACGAGTACTCACACTGCGAGATGAGGGCCATGAGAATGTTGCCCTCGTCCTTGTCGAGGGTGGAGGTATCGGCCTCACTGCCCTCTGGAGCCTGGTCATCGATAGGAGTGCCTTGGAGGCTGGTGCGGCGCGACTTGGGCTTGCTGCCAATGTTGAGGGCGTCCATGCCCTGCGAGAGGAGGCCCATGGTGGGGTGGATGGGCGGAGGGGGGGGACGCCGGAGGTGGTGAGGAGAGGGGGGAGAGGAGAGAGGGAATGGAGTGGGCGATAGACAGGTAGAACAGATGAGGAGATGAAGAGAGAGAGATGAAGAGAGGGATGAGGAGAGAGAAAGATGTAAAGATGGATGATGAATGCAAGCGATAATGTGGGCGGCGGCATGGGCAGTTGGCGGGACCTGAATGGTGACGTCCTTCCTTCTCCCCTCCCCTCCCCCAAGCATTCTCTTTCAGCAAACATTTACTTTGTACCTCCTTGGCATCATCGCTTCGCTTATTACAGCATACGACTCACTATTATTGCTGGTATTGGTATCTACCTTGATCACTCTATTGTTGTGCACGACTTATCCGACAATATACTCGAGCTGGAGCATGCGTGGCCCGTATGGATCCGAGCACTCGACTCCGAAGCTGCCTCCCTCTGCTTCGATCGCGACTCCTGAGATGTGACGAGGATTAGAATAATAAATACCCCCTCGTGGCCTCGTAATCAAGCGTCCTAACAGAAAAAAAAAGAAAGCATTAACCAACGACGTCATCACAATCCCCATCTCCTCACCTCCTCACCTCCTCAGTCTCCTCGGTCTCCTCTCGCTTGTCGACTCGTACGCGCTCCCGCTTCACCACGTGCGTCACTAGTTCAGGCAGCCAACGTGCGACCTCGCTAATCTTGCTGGTGCAGACATCCGCACCACTGCTGACGCCCCCACCTTGCACATGATCACCCCACTAGCCACCGCGGGCGCCGTGGCGCGGGTGGCGTAACGGGAACCATAAACAATTCACTTGCATTCCAGATCTGAAACCAAACCCCAGGCACGCATCTACAGTCACTATACGCGTCGCCGACTCGCCAAGAGCTAGCTCCACCCTGCGTCACTAGCCGCACTCCGGAACGAGCTCGCTGATGACATGTGGCCTCGCGGCGTGTCCTCTCCTCGTGAAAGCGACAGTGGAAGCACCGCCTCGTCGTGCACTGTCTTCTGGAGGTACACCTCGTCACCCTGCTTGTGAGTGACACATCCCCACATCATCGACCGCATCACACTCACCTCAAGTGGTGTTGTTGAAAAGGTAAGTCCCTTGTCAAAGTGCTTGGAGAGACACTTCTCAGCGAGAGCCCAGTCGACGTGCATCGTCAGCTTCTTGCGCGGCTGTACGGTGAGGGAATGGCGCTGGACCGTTAGCAATGTCATCGACTGAGCTAGAGCCGGCGTGGCCGGATCTGAGAATTTGAAACAGTGTTCGCTAGCCCTCATCGCGCAAGTAGTGCAACGCCGCACAACCATCATGAACACTCACAGCATCGACATTGCTGTCCAAGACCGCGGGAGAGTGCGCTCCCTCGCTAATCGACAGGCGGATAGAGAAGTCCTTGACTGCCTGCCCGTTCCGTGGCGTGCTCTTCTCCCACAGCTCGATGGTGACATGCGAGCAGTAGTCGAGCTCGGGGATGCGCACATTCGTGAACGGCATCCCGCTCGCGAGCAGCAGATGCACAAAGGTCGTGATGTGACTCTCCTTGGTGAAGTAGAAGCAGGCGAGGCTCTTGCCAGTCGTCTTGGCCTCTTCAAGATCGCCCCAGACCTTGCGCAATAGAGGAAGCGAGGTCAGAACACCAATCTCCTCCTTGGCCTCGGCATCAAAGCCGTACTCCTGCGGCGCCACCAGGTCAAAGAGCACCTTGGCGCGTGCGTACAGCTCGTGCAGTCGCCGATCCTGATGCTCGGCTCCAGCACGCGACGCGAGCCCCTTGCCCTTAGGGTCAAACACGGCAAAGAGGAAATTGCGGTTGTGCAACGAGTCGTACTTGATCTTTTGTTAGCTAGGGCTGCAAAGGCGATGCGCCAGCTCACCGAGTCGTACAGCTCCGATACGCGGGATGGGTCAAACTTCTCCTGCTTGACGCCGACCCAGTCGTCGAAGATCTTCTCCCATCGCTCGCGGAACAGCCAGGGCGAGTCGCCAGAGCACCAGCGCTGTTGTGGGATCTTCTCGACGTTGCCGTTCTCGTAGTTGGCTCTCATGATGGCGCGGAGCTCGGTCAGTTGGGTGACAACTTCCTTCACGACCTCGACGGGCTCCTTCATGCCCTTGGGCCACGCGAGGTCTGAGCGCTTCTCCGTTTCGCCTGAGCGAAGGAGCATCTTCAGCTTCTTCTTCGCGTCGTTCATCATCTCCTTGCCAGCATTGTTGTCATCAAGCAGGTCGCGGCGTTGCACGAGGTGAGAGATAACGGGCCCGGAAGGCTCCGGTACGACGGCGCCCGTGCGTGAGGTCACGGACGATCCCGCTGATCCACCCTCGACGCCGAGAAGAGCATGCGCAAATATTTGCGCCGTGTTCTGCTCGTCAGTTGCTGCTTTAACTCCGCCACGTACGATGACACGCCGCTCAGACGACGTGTAGATTTTGACGTTGTTGAGCACGTCCTTGTCTGCCGTCAGTAGTGTCAGGGAAGCACCAGCGCCTTACTCATTATCATAATGTCCTGCGAGTCAGCGGTATCCCATCACTAAACTCACTTTCTTGAACTGGTCGCCGAGATCGCGGGCCTGGTACCGGGCCGCGTGGGTGCTCTCACCGCCCCACTTGACGACGAGCTGCATCTTCTCAAGACCCTCCGGAATGCCGTAGTGCTTTGTATTGCCACTGAGGACAGCCAGCATATCAGGCGTAGCAGGAATAGGAGCGCCCGGGGCCACAGCAGGCGGTGTCGAGGACCGGAGTGTCGACAACGCAGACTGGCCGGCGGGGACGTTGCCCAGGCTGCCACGCTTGAGCCAGTCGTCCACTCTCTTCTTGCGCTCCGTCTCATCGAGCTCGCCTTCGTCATCGGAGCCGCCGCCCTTGTCCTTCTTCTCCTTCTTGGCCTCGCCGTCCGCGCCCTTCTTCTTGGCAAATGATGGCTTGAGCTGCGCCTTGGTGCCGGGCATGAACATCTTCTTATTGAGTGCCTCCTTGAGCGCCTCAAGCTTGGTGATGATCTCGGGTGCGATCCCGGGCACTAGAGCGGCTTCGTCGGCGGCGAGTAGGATGTAATTCAGCTGGCGAGGGTCACGGAGAATGATCTCCTCGCGGTGACCGCGGAGCAAAGCGAGGAATGGCTGGGCCCATTTTTCGTGCGCAGGGAAGGTGAACTGAAGTAAGCACTGCCGTCGTCCAGGCCATTCACCTTGATCTTCATCTTCGGGGTGCGGTCAGCGTGGCGAAGGACCGTGACGGTCGCCCGAAGGGTGCTCGTCGACGCCTCAGCGGGCGGGGGCATGAGGGCAGCGTCAGGCTTGGCGGCGGCAAGCTCAGCAAGCTTGCGGTCGCGCGCCTTGTCGCACACGTCGGAGAGAATCTCGGCGGCCTTGTCGTAGTACGCCTGGTTGCCCTTTACGAAGGACCAGCCGTTGACGTCGATAACCATGCTTCGCGGCCCGCACCGCAGCAGGTCGAAGCCGCAGACACGCTGCCCGAACGCCTCAACAATGTCGCGCGCATACTCCTCCTCTCTCTCTGAGAGCTTGGTGATGAAGCGGGTTTCCTTGCCATCGGCATTGCGCTGCACCAAACCGTCAACAACAGGCGATTTGCGCGTCTCGGCATGCGAAAAGTGCGGTCCGACAGTGTACACTTTGACGTCCTCGGCGTTGTCGACGTTGATAAACTCCTCGTAAATGTACGAGCCGACCGTGCGCGGGTGATAAAGCTCGGGGTCGTATTCGCTCGACTTGTTACCGACCTGACGTCAGCCAATTTCGGCTAATGACACACCTTGCGGAAAAGCCTGCGCCCGCCTCCACCCTTGTAGTAGATGTACACGTTGTGATCCTCGCCGTTGACGGGCTTCTCTACGAACGGCTTTTCGATGACCTGGCCGTCGACGATGATGGCATCGCCATCGGCGCGCAGTATGACCTCGCGTGCGCGGGGCACGGTGTCCTTCGTCCGCTTGTTCTTCCAACGATCCGGAACAACGACGGGCTCCCAAGAGTCCTCGTCTCTGGCCTTGTGGCCTGGCAGAACGAGGCCTAGATCGCGGCGCGCTCTCTGACGGAGGAATCTGGGCACGCGGGGTCCGCCGTCGCGGTTCACCTCCGCTCGGTTGGGAGTCGGCACGCCAACGTGATCGAGGATCGCCAGCACCAGACGCCGGTCCCAGAGAAGGCTCTGCATGGCAAGCGAGTTGATGCTGATCGGCGGCGTGCGTGTCGCGATCTGCGTGTACGCAAGCGCCTTGGGGAGGGGGAAGTCGGTCGAGAAAAAGGAGATGAGCACGTCGCATTGCGGCCAGTGCTCGATATCTAGGGTTAGTGGCGAAGGAAGTGATGGAGTTGTGGCGTGAGTGATGGCGGCGACGGCAAAGGCGGCGGCGTCGCGACCGCGCCATCATTTCGCGCACGTGCTTACCTTCATCAAGAATCACGACGTCACCAAAGATCTTGACCTCGACACCGCCCGCCTGAATCTGGTTGAGGCGGGTAAGGATCTCGCGCATAGCTTTGGAGCGGGCTTTGACGTCCATGGCGCAGACACCGAGAACGACTGGAGGCTCTCTTGAGACGGGCGGGGTGTAGGCCTGGGCACGCAGAATGCCGAGCCCGGGTTTTGACGGGGAGACAGGGCGTGAGGCGGAGGAGGCGCGCCCAGAGCCGGCGGGGGAGCGAGGAGCCGACATGATGGGTGCGCGGGGTCGGATGCGAGGATAAAGAGCAAAAAGAGCAGCGGAAGAGAGAGGAGGTTGAGAAGGAGGAGGGAGGTTGAGAGAAGAGAAGAGCTCGGCAGTCACCCTTGCAGTCGTTGCGGCGGAAATGCCATGTTGGTGGTGTGATTCACCCCGTCCTCCCTGGGGCCCCACTCCTTTTCTTGGTGGGCTCGTCATTTTGTTGATCGTCAATGTTCATGTTGCAACATTCTCAATATCCCACCTCCGCTTAATATGCTCGATACTGGCGCTCTGAGGGAAGCGCTTGAAGAGGCGCGAGACGACCTGAAGGCTGGGCGGAGCGTGCGCTCTCCTGCTTCCGCACGAATCAACGACGCGGCACGCTACGTCGCTACCCACCTGCACGAGCGGTATGCGCACAGACGACGAAAATAACTGACTCCAGTGAACAGATAGAGGCGACGCTTCCGATATGGGAGCTGTGCGCGACATTGTGGCCGCTGCTTGCCGACGCGCTGGACCCATCCGGCGACGGCGGGCCCGTGGCGCTCGCATCATCGCTGGGCAAGCTGGAGCGCAACATGCTGGCTGGCAGTGTCCACGCGCAGATCGCGGCTTTGTGAGCTCATGTGAGGTTTCGGCTGATAGCAGGCCAAGTGAGCCGGACATTCGCAGGATTATCTTCAACGTAACGACGTTTGGGCGCATCGAGGACCCCGATTGTGAGCGCGCTTGTGAAATGACTCTTGACACAATCAGTTGCCGAGTTGCAGGGAATTCTCTCGCAGCTGCTGTGTAATCTCATTTCCTCTCGCGGCGGGTCGGATAGCGAGGCCCTCGCTGATAGTGTGCTGAAGACGTGGCTAAGCGGGCGGCGGGAAGACGACGTTATCATTCGGCTGCTCGACAGCGGCGACGTACGAGTCAACACCGGCGTTCTGCGACTACTGATCAACTTGGCTACCCAAACAAGGCAGTGGGTCTTTTTGTTGGTCGACAGATACTGATTCAGACCCCGCTTCTTGGCTGCACCCGCGATACATTGGCTTGCACGCATTTTGAACCGACTCGACACATGGCACGCCGATGCGGAACCGCTCTTCGATCTAGCGGTGTCCTTCTTCGAACTGTTCTTTACCGCGGGTCACCAATCCGAACTATACTCTGCCCTCGCGGTTTCGGAGGAAACTGTTACGCCGTCGCAGGTGACGCTTCTCAAGCTTCTCGACGCCTATCTCACGCGCCCCCACGCCCACCCAACCCCATCACCGAGTCTCTTCGTCATTCAGGCTTGGCGTGACACCGCCGCCTACACCGCCGCATCAATGCGTAGCGGGAAGGACGACGCCCGCTTGCCCTCTGTCCTGGCTGCCCTGGTACTGGATACCGAGATCTTGAGCACCATTGTGCTCGCGGCCCAGGCCCGCGCGGACAAGCAGGAGGCGGAAGGCGGAGAGGAGGCCATGGTGGCGTGCTTGAAAGGCCGAACCCAAGAATCGTCCAGCATCATCCCCGCACTGGTTAATGTTCTCGCGGCAACCCACGATTTCCTGCCTCGCATCAAACCCGGCGCCGCTACAGCTGCAGATAATGTGGCCGCCGCCGCAGGACAGATGAGCCAGCGCGAGATCGAGCATGCCTTCGCAAATGTCAAGCGTGACTTGGTCCGCCTGCTCGCTGTGCTTGCTTTCAACGACACCGCCGTGGGAGACCAAGTTCGTGCTGCGGGTGGCGTCCAGCTTGTGCTGGGATTGTGCGAGACCGATGAGCGAAACGCGTACCTCCGCGAACACGCGCTGTTCGCCGTGCGCAACCTTATGATGGGCAACCCGGCCAATCAGGCGATTATTGCCGAGATGGAGCCGCTGGGCTTGGTCGGCGAGGACGGCGTGCTGGGGCCATTGCCAGAGAAGCTGAAGAAGAGCGATGAGGCAGCCATGAAAGCGGGGCGAGGTGGGTGAGGATGCAAGGGGGCGCTAAATTCTCTATCTTATTGTGATGCACCTTGCATAGTCCTGCATTGCACCACCCCACACCAGCCAGCCAGTTCCGTGGTACATGTATGACGCACGTCGAAGAAGTTAGTTCTGTGAGCTGGGCACGCTAGCGCCATATGGCCCGGCAAAAACTATGCTATCATCAACCGACACTGTTGGTGAAACGGTATCATGCGTCGTTGCCATCGACGCGGCAGGGGTTCGACTCCCTTACAGTGTATACTTTTTGCTTTCCGGCCCTGCCTCGGGATCCAAAGATGTATCACCCTCACACGGCTAATGCATTCAACGTGCATAAGCAGTGATCATCATAGGTCGCTTTGCATCTTGCTATCCGCCATTACGAGAAGTTTCTGGGCCTCAATTACAAGCGCATGACTGGAGCGGCACACGATATGCATCACCCCGGGAGTGGTGTCCCAGTACTACGACTAAAGAGGATCTCATTGGCAGCCCGTCGCAAGGCCTGCACACCTTGGGTTCGGCCCCAAGCAGCATCGAAAGGTTCCAAACCCATTGCGCGCCTCCCCTCGGCGCCTTTAATATCCGCCGCCGTCGCTCGTCCATCAAAATCAGCTTCACCTACACCAGCGGGGAAATCGGGTCCGCTCTCGCCGCGCTCAAAACAGTCGCGCTGCTTACGCAGATGACAGGCGTTTCGTTTCGTGAGCGGGCACGCCCCGATATACAGCACGCTACTATCCTCCGCGCCCTCATGGACGCTCTCGACGGCGTGCACGCCCTCGCAGTGCCAGAGCACGTAGTCGCCGGGGCGCACCCTCCTCATAGGCACCATACACTTATCCAAACGGAGGTGGGGGTGTGTCTCGGGCGACAGCTCGATGGTCTTGCCTAGCGCTGCGCCGGGGAATGAAGCCGACTCGAGGTCCAGCACCCAGTTCTCCGGCGCGAGGTAGCCTGGTACATGAGGCGGAAGGAGAGCGCGGAAGAAAGGGCGCAGGAGAATGTAGGCAGTAGCTTCGCGCAGCGCAGGATAAACTTGTAGCGTGCCCTCCCCCGCGCCTGTGTGGGAGAGCGATAGCCACCCCTGCCATGTCCGGGTCACGCCACAGTGCGCGACAGCATCGTGCAGGTTACTGTTGGCGCCGTCTCGTAGCACTGCGTCGTACGCGTCGTACTTTTCCCACTCGCCTGCGAAAATGGATCGGTAGAGCGCCCTGTAGCCTTTGTCCCTGCCATCAGACCAGCGTCACCGAGCGGTGCATGGCACAACTCACTCCCACAGCTCGATACTCCCTCCGTCAGCGTGAGGCCCCAGAGCAAAGCTGGTGTCGCCTGGTTGCCTGATGCGGGCGCGGTCGCAATACGATACCGGCGTGTCGAGGTCGACCTCGGCGCCGTCCCCCGCGTGGAAGAGCCGATTGGCCCACCGCTGTGTTTTCAGGACATGAGAGTGCGCCCGTGCGCCGACCTGCGCCGGACTCCAGTACACCTCGAACACCTGCGGGTTCTCCTTCGGGAAGCCCGTGACTGGGTTGGAGCGGACGTAGCTCCGCAGCTGTGCGCCCAAGTCGGTATCCGTCACGCCGCGCACGACGACCATGCCGCGGGCACGCACCTCATCCTCCACCTCCGGCGCGATGTCATCCAGCTCGGCGAACTGGACTTCGGGGATCAGGTCTGATCCTTTAGCCTCGATCTCGGCTGTGACGTCGTGTAGGCGTGCGAGGAGACGGTGCCAGCTCGCGATGACCGCTTCTTCGCGCCCAGGAGGGACGAGCTCACGCTTCAGCCGCGCGAAGTGGGGGGGGAGAGTGCCGCCGGAGAACTGCGCAAAGACGCTCCCGATGTCGCCTGTCCGCTTAGTCGCGGTATGCGTAGCTGTGGCGCTCATTGCGTGAGGTTACTGGGGGCTGCTTGCTTCATGGCGATGCGCAGGCTCAATAGTTATAGACGTTCGAGTGAGCGCCGAGAACCCCGCGCCAGAGATAAACCGCCGAAATGACCGCGTGATCGGCTGCCCCGCCAGAGACGTCATAGCGGGAATTTCGGCGGTTGATCGGCACCCGCCGAGATGGCCGCACACCTTGCGGAAGCGACGACATTCATCTTCTGACATCTATGGCAATGCCGCGCGCCGCTCAACAGCGCACTCCACCGGCGGACAGTCACATTGGGCGCCGGCCTAAGGTCTGCGTTGCCTGCCGCAAAGTGAAAGTAGGTGGGGGGGGGGGGGGTTCTACCTTCACCGCTGACGGCAGCACAAGTGTGTGCCCTCGAGGGTGGCGGGGCAATGCAAGCGTTGCGAATCGCGGGGCGAGCCGTGTAACTACGGTGTGCCTGTACAGGCGAGTGATGTTGGGACATAAGCTGATCTCAGGAGGACGCGTGGAAGCAGTGGGCGACTCACGAGATCCAGAGGCTGAGCGAAACGGTGGGTGGGTCTAAGCGGGCGCCTGACAGCTAGGTGTTTGCGCTGGAGCGCCGAACGCGAGGCGAGGCCGAGGCCAGCTCCGAGCCAACAGAAGACGGCATTGCCATTCGCCAGATGCCGAGCGCCGCCACCTTTCCAACGGCTGACTTCATGGCCATCACGACGGTCACCCAGCCCAATGAGATCTACGGACTGCAGCCGGAGGGGGAGAACACAGTGCCTTCCACTCGTCCTGTTTACCGGCCTGTCGGCGGCCTGTCAGCGCCTGAGCATGCCGAAGCCCTTCCCGAGATCGGCAGCGCCGACCCGCGTCCCAGTGTGATCTCCAAGAACATCGTTGATGCGCCCACGGCCCGCGCAATGGTCACCTACTTCCTTCACTCGCTCGGCGCCTGCGGCACGTTTGGCTTCGACCTGCGAGCGGGAGCATACCCTCTTCTGGAGCGGCTTGAGCAACTAACCCCTTTCAAGGCTGGCCCCGAGGTGGAAGAGGATGAGGAGGACCCGACGATCGACATCGAGCTGGGCATTGGCCCCGAGGAGATCACGGCCTTAGCGCTACGTGCTGTGTTCACGGGGGACATGGCGGCTGGACGGTCTGCACTCACCTGGGCGCGAGGGTTGGGCAAGGTACGTACTGAAGGCATCCGCCGACGCGGACTGACTCCAGCTCGACGCGTCAGGAGTGTCCACTGTTTCCGTAGCCCAGCTCTTTGGCCTGGACACGCCACGCCGCGAACCGACGCGCCGCCAGTCCATCCGCCTCATACTCTTCGCCTATGTCCGTTTCCTCGTGGCGGAGCTGACGCCAGGTCTGTCGTGTGTACACGGCAGTGGCCGCTGAAGATGTGGCGCCCGAGTTCGACCCCACACCGCTGTGCGAGGCGTACGGTGCGGAAAGCGACCCGAGCAGGGAAGAGGAGGACGAAGTGCTGCTTCTCCACGCCCGGCTCGCCCGAGTCCTGGCCCAGTTTTGTTTGTGGCGGCAGCCCGGTCGAGACAGGGGTCAGCGGAGCGATTGGACCGGGCTGCCATTCAAGAGCTACGCCCACGAGCCTGACTTTGAAGACGCTATCGGACGTTTGTTTCCTGTCCATCCATCTTCGGCACTAGCCCTGTGGACTCCGCTGGCCTGGTATGTGCACTTGCGCGTGTACCGCGATCTTCCCGCTCACCGCGATTCGGAAAGACTGCAGCTCAGCGCCGCCCGCCATGCCCTTGAGGCGCTTGATGAGATCCGAGGGCAGGTCGCAGGGTTGCCGCTCATCTACGTCGAGGCCGCGCGCTTGGCGATGACTATGCTCCTGGAATATCCCAGACGCAACCCACCTCAACATGACACCCTCGATAAGATCGAACGTCTCTCGTTCGCGTTGCTTGGTAGCTCACTGCCTGGAGACCACGCTGCACCCGCGCTCGGCGCGAAGCTGTTTGCCCAAGCACAGGGCGTGAGTCACACATTAGACTACCCCAGGCACCACACTGTAGACCATGTCTAGTGCTGCTCAGCGATGGATGCAAGTAGCGATCCACACTCACAGCCGAGTCATTGGATACATGCCTGCTACATTCGCCCCGTAGGGTAACCCATATGCGGTACTACTGATGTCTTTACTTCTCCTTGATGGCCTTCTTGGTCTTGTCGGCGGTGTCCTCGGCGATCTTCTTTCCCTCCTGGGCCTTGTTCTTGGCGTCCTTGAGCACCTCGTGCAGAAGCTTGCCCAGGGCTGGAGAGATGGACGAGACCTGCTCGACGACGGTCTCGGGCTCGACGGGGATCCACTTGGCGGCGGTGGTGACGGTCTTCTCGATGTCGCGGGCCCACTTCTCGGCGCTGTCGACCGAGTCGACTGCCTTGGAGCGGAGGTAGCTCTCGATGGCGTCGGCGGGCAGGCCGGCGTCCTTGGCCGTCTTGCGCAGCTGGTCGACGAGCTTGTTGATGTCTTCGGGCGCCGTCTCCTTGATGCCCTCGACGAACGCGTCGCCGACGCTCTTGCCGTCCTTGCTGGCGGCCTGCACCTTCTTGTACACCTTGTCTGCGGCGGTGTTGAGCTCGTTGAGCGACTCCTTGCCGAGCTTCTTGGCGTCTGCGACATACTTGTCAAAGTCGTCCATGCTCGGCACCTTGCCGACGAGGAACGACACCCACTGCTGGTACTCCTTTGGCAGCTCCTTGGAGAGGTCCTGCGACAGCTTCTTCCAGTCGAGGTCTGTGACCTTGCCGCCGGCCTTGTCGAGCGCAGCCTGGACCTTGTCGACGACGCGCGCGACGTCGTCGTTGCCCAGTTTCTTCAGCTGGTCCAGCGTGCTCTGCATGTCCGCGTCCTGGAGGTTGCTGAGGATGCCGCCAAAGTCGCCGGACTTGAGCTGCTTCGAGAGCTGCTGGTACACGACGAACGCGCCGCCGGGGAGGAGGGACTGGAGGAGGCCGTCCATGGCATCGCCTGCAGAGTCGGGGACCTCGACGCCGGCCTTCTCAGCGACGACCTTGGCGGTCTCGGCGGCGGCACCGGCCTTGTCCGCAGCGACGGCCGCGACCTCCTGCGCCTTGGCCTTGGCTTGGTCGACAGTCTGCTGCGCGGCCTCCATCGTGCTGTTGATCTTGGACGCCACATCCCGGATCGGCTTGAGGTAGACGTATCCGCCGATGGCGATGAGGCCGAGGGCGCCGAGGACGATGCCCTGGCTCTGGGCGGCCGCGGCCGGCCCGCTCTCAGTCGAGTACGTGCGGAACGCCTGGCGCGCAGCGTTTGGCGTCACGCGAGCTTGGGCGTGCAGGGCACGGGGGGCGGGGCGCTGTTGTCAGCTGCGTTGCAGGTAGCGGTCGGGAAGACTCACAGCGGCGGCGCGGGGCGCGGCGAAGGCGGCGTTGCGGAGGGCGATTGGGCGCATCATGTCAATGTTCAGTGGGGGATGAAGAGAACGCCCCCCCCGGCGCTGCCTTTATGGCGGGCGCTGTCGCTCTCACGGGGCGGGGACGGACGTGGAGTGGCCGCACGTATGGTGAGAGGTGCGGTGTGACGTCAGCCGATGAGCGCGGCGGAAATGACGTCGTGCCACAGAAAAATCGTGCAACCGCATCCAACCGCAATGCTTCCCGTGTGCACGCGGGAGCCATGCACCGACGTAATGCCGGGTCTGGACGCACTGAGCATGACAGCGGCTGGATGACCGCTAGAAATGGGGGTGGTGGTTGGTTGGGGCTGGGTGTGCGGAAGTTTGTCTTCCTGGCAGGTCGGGCCGGAGTGGGCCCATGTTAGAGTGTGGCTGTAAAAGCATGTCAGAGCGACGGGGGCGCGGTCGCGTCCCAGTCGCGGTTTCAGTTGGTACCAATCAGAGTCACACCAATCTGGCATATGCATGTAGCGATGCGTGGACGTGGGTGCCGTCGGGAGCTCCACTAAACATGTGGAATTCCGCCGGTCACTCTCCACCAACCATCTACCGCGGCTGAGCACTGGATGTGGCAGACCCGTTTTTCGGAGTCCGGAGCCTGTGCTATAATGTTGTCCTTCGGACGGTTCTCGGACAGTGTCGCGGTATCGTGAACGCGGCGTTGTCGATCAAGGCAATGAGGCCACGGCAGGACAGGCTCGTGAGTTATAGCGATCTGACCGAGTTGATCGTGACCACAAGGGACAGGACATACTCATCCGGCGCATCCGGGACACCTCTGGACGTTTCCGGTCCTTGAGACACGACACGGGCTTGGATGCGCGCCTGATAACACGCCATCGCCGCTATCTTCACCTGCATGCCGCGGCCATCGCTCTCCTGCGTGACACATCACCCTCTCCGCCTCGACGCCTCAGCCCAGCGGCCGATGGACATGCGTCCGTCACGCTACGCTGCGCGGAATGCTTTTCCTCCTGAAATGGCGTCGATACCCTCGTGGCTGATAGGGAAGTGGATAGGTGCCAGCGATGCATCTGCCAAGAGTCTATGGTAGTGAATGACAGAGCGCTGGGGGGTAATATGTGGGCCGCCACAGCCCGAGCTCAGTGACAGTGATGACAGGTTGTGGTGACAGGTAACATGTGGTGGGTGGGTCCGTGATCAAGTCGGACGCGCTACGCGCGCGCGCCAAAGTGCGCACTGCCTCTGCCCGAGCTCGAGGACCCATTCGGGCCGCGCTCGCCCGACGCCGGCGGCGGGATGTGCGAGCTCACAAGGAGGTTGTTCGCACTGGCGTGAGCGTTAGTGCGTATCGCCATAACTCACCGGCGCAGCTCGACCAGCTCCTCCGTCAACCGCCGGTTCTCGGCCATGAGCCGCCCCCGCTCCTCGTACAGCAACGAGTTGGAGGTTTTGATCGCGTCGATGTGCTGCACCGCTGGCGTTAGTCTCTCCACCGGCCGCGCTGCTCGCCGCTCGCAGCTAGCCGCTCATCGCACCTCTGTCAAGCACGACTTGCTTAGACCCCTTTTGGTTCGTCGGCGGGAGGATGGCGCGCAGGCGCTCAAAGCCGTCCTTGAGGACATTGCGCCGCTTCTGCCACATCAGCCGCTGTTTCTGCTATAAACTTGCGCACATTCGTGCACGCACCTGTTCGCTCTGTATGCGGCTGAGACGGCCGGCCTCGGCCTTTGCGTCGCGGATGGGGCCGCGCGCCCCCTGCGCACTGCGGCCGTCAGATTTCTTCGCACTCTACTCGACTCACCCCTGCACGGAGATGCCGAGGCCGACGCGGTCGTCGTCGTCGAGCATGTCGTCGTCGTCGTCGTCGTCTTCCTCTTCGCTCTTGACGCTCCGCGGGTGTATCCGCCGGTGCGATGTGCGCGGGCGGCGCGACGCCAGCTCGCGCGGGTTCGCGTACGGCATGCCGGGGAGGGGCGAGGGGGCATGCATTGGCGGCGAGTAGCCCATGCTCGACATGTCGGAGAGGTGGCTTCCGAAGCTGCTGAGCGGGCTGCCCATGGGGCTGGAGACGGAGCCGCCGAGCGAGCTCGAGATGGAGCCGGCGGGCGAGGGGCTCGGGTTCGTGAGCGGGTAGGAATCTTGCATCGTCGACATAAACGACCCCATGCTCATCATGCTCGGCCCGCCGAAGAGCGCGGGCGGGGATGACGAGTGTGGCACTGCGGTTAGTGTACGCGAGTCGCCGGACTCACCGCGGTAGGGGTGGTACCCGTACTGGTGGGGAGGCGGGGCTGGTGGTGGACCAGCTTGCGTCGGCTGCGTCGTCACGTAGGCAAAGGGACTCGTGGTAAATTCTTTGTTATAGAACATGCTGCTGCTGGGCAGAGGCTGGAGTTCGTATGGGGGCAGTACGCCTTCGAGTCAGTCAGCGAGGTACGGAAGAGAAGAGGGAAATAACTCACGAGATACTTCGTGTGCGCCAGCTGGCTGGTCACCGGCACGGCTCGGTGGGTGTCTGTTGAGCGTGGCAGCGTCGCCCATAGCCGCGCCGACACCAACTCCCACACCAACACCCCCCCCCACGCCGTACTCGTCTTGCGCCTGCATGCCTAAGGCGTGTTAGCGAGCATGTTCCGGCAGGATGGACGTGCGAGCGTGTCGCCAGACGCGGCACAATCCCACACACCTTCTCTGCCCTTGTCGAGAGGTGTTCTCGCGTTCGCGTCCGACGAGGAAGACTGGCGCGATGATTTTGAAGACGACGAGGCAATGTTTGGAGAAGGAGGAACAGACGGCATGGCGCCGAGTCCATGAAACTTGAAGGATGCCGACGCGCGGACCGATCAGTACTGTGCTTTCGTGGCAGCAAAACAAGGAGACAGGCCTCCGAGCCCAGTGTGCAAGAATGTGCGGCTGTCTCTCGCCCGCACGCCCGTGGTGGTGGCTGTAAGGCGTGGCTGTCGGCAGGGGACAAAGGAGTGGGCTGAGGCGGGGGAGGCTGGAGGGGAGGGGGGGGGGGGGGAGACAGGTGCGGAGGGCGGAGGGCGGATGATAGAGGGCGGAGAGCGAAGAATGAGGCTCGGCTGTGCGCCGTCGTCGATGGAGGCGGCGGCGGCGGCTCAAACGGAAGGGGGCTTATCTAGCTTTGGGTAGTGGAGCGTGTCGTGGCGAGTCGTGTCGTGTCGTGGAGTTGGTGCAAGATGGGAGGTGAGAGTTTTGGAGATGATGTGAATCTCAGACTGTCGGAAGAGTGTTGGCGCTTGGCTGGCGGGCTGGCGGGCTGGCGGCTGGCGGCTGGCTGCTGGCTGCTGGATGGTGGAAGGCAGGCGGTGGCGTCAGGTGGGTAGCATGGGTGGAGGGAACACACACACCTGGAGGTCAAACAAGTCCCTCTGGATGTCTGTGCCCGTGGTGGCGCCGCCAAGCGGAAGCTTACGAGGCGAGGCGGTTGGGAGCGGAACAGAAGCGAGGGGTACGGTACGAGGAGGAGGGCGACAGGAGAAGTGGACGAAGAGGAGGGGGAGTAGGAGCGAGAGGATGAGTGTTGCCTTCGGCACATGCTTGTCCCCGGAGAGTCAGTGTTGTACAAAAGCAGATGGTGTGGCGGACAATAGCAGACGGGGTCACAGAAGTGTTACACTATTACCCGATTCCCGAACAGTGATCCAGCGATCCACGCCGCTGGCTGCTGGCCGCTGGCAGCTGCCCGAGAGCCGCTAGCTGTTGGCGGTGCTGGCCGAGCTGACACCCAGCTCACGGCCATGACCCATGGAGATGAGCCACGAGAACCACTCCTGAATTGTAACCTGCAACCTGTAACCCATTGCTCATGTCCCTGCACTCGTATTCCTCTGGGACCCCATGTACCTGTGCATCCCGTCAACGACGGACGGACGTCTGGGGTTGCAACGCACAGGACTGCATTACAGCAGGGCAAGTGCGCGCAGTGCCGATGCGTGCCGATTCCTAATGTACAACATCGGTACATGTGCAGCAAGCGATGGTGTGCTGGACATTGGACATGATGGAGGCTCGAGAGCGTCGAGGGCTGAAGAACTGTCCCAAATATCTCATTGATTGCCCATCCTGAGCGGAGAGTGACAGCATGACAGGTAGTGAGCGGTCATGTTGAGGGATGGTGATTGTGTGGGGTCGAGGCTGGGGTCGTGAGCGACGGGCATTGACAGGCCCTTTAACTCTCCTGACCTATCAGTTGGGGCAGAGCATACACCGCCATCTGTGATGCCTTGTTCCGCCACGTCCGCCACTGAACCTTGAGTGCAGTCCGCCGCTCACCACAAAGGAGTTGGGGGGTGTATGAGTGTAGCCCGTGCGTGTTTTGGTCAATGTGGCCGTTATGGGAATTTGGGGCCGTGGTATCCGTTGTGCGTATCCGTAGTTTCCGTGGTATGCGTGGCAGGATGGCGGCCACCGTGCAGGGTGTGAGTGCAGGGCCCCGGGAATGCCAGACACACATTCGCACTCGCGCCAAAAGTGAATCTGGGTACGAGTGTAACATTGCAGGATCGCAGATGCATGGGCAGGAGGGAGCAGGAGGAGGGCCAGAGGCAGAGGCCAGGAGGGAGATGCAGGAGCGTGCCTCTGGATGTCACCCTGCAACACCCCTTGCACATGCTTCGAAGATGGCGCATGGCGCGCGTGCAAGTTCTTTGCTTCCATGGATGGGACGATATGCGTGGGGCGTGGGTGCGTGGGTGCGTGGGGGGGCTGAGCAGCTGGACAAGAGATGGCATGTGGGTCCAGGAGGAGGCGGGAGATGGGGAGAAGAAGAGCGGACGCGTCAGCGGTGGAGGCGTGGAGGGGAAGGGGGTGAGCGTGGTTAGAAACACGTGAGTAGTGATGGGATCAGTGAGTGGTCAGTGATGAGTGATGGGTGATGGGTGATGGGTGATGAGGGATGAAAAAAGAGTGATGAGCGATGAGAAACAATGGAGAGGATAAGAGCGAGAGAGAGAAAGTTGTGATGAGATGGAAGGATGAAAAGATGATCAAAGCTGAGAGTGTGATGAGATGAATGGAGGAGCATCTGGGAGGTTGATGAGACTGACGAGGAAGGTGGTGGAGGGGGACTCGGGGGATTTTTGTTATTTTGCCACTGGCCACTGGGGGAATGTGTGATGCAAAGTCGCGTCTCGGCGTCGTCTAGTCATCCCAGGAGACGCGTCTCTGCTTGTTTCCAAACCCAGACGTTCTCGATGACCTCGACTCTCTGATTTCACTGCTCATCTTGCTCAAAGCGGCGCTCGAGTTGTGCCGCGGCGCCGCGGCACAACTGTGACCGCTCGTCTGTCCTTTGTCCAATAGCCCTTGTGTGATTGGCAGGCTTGTAGGACAAGGGACAATGCGAGGAGACGCCCCAGACATTGAAATTGCATACGCGTCGCGACACACATCCGTGTGCAATGTGCCGTGTTGATGCATGCATGCAGATGATGTGGACGGCGTGTCATGGATGGACAACGACGAGGGCGGTATTGTCGGCGATCAACGCCGAGGCTCAGAAGGGCGATCAGCTTGACACAGCTTGTCGTTCGTCGGAGATCGGGCATCGGATGCCGCCGATGAACGACGACTTTTCGCTGACGCCGGGGCCGCCGGCCGCGGTCTCACTCTGCCCCTTGAACGGCCCTGCTCGGCCTGCTCGGTCTTTGCAAGGGTCAGCGGGGCGAGGACGCCGCTTGTTTTTGATGCATGCATGGACATTGATGAGTGTTTGACGCGCGGCGATGCGTTGAGAGGAATCGTATTGCATCGGATCGCAGCTCGCATGAATCTTGTATGCCAGCCAATATGCCAAGCCGCTGGCCCGATGCCCTCCTCCTTGTACAGCTGGCTACTCGCTAACTCGATGTCATGTCGGAGCAGGGTGCGTGGGAGGAGTGCTCGCTGGTGGCAGCTGGAGCCGAAGTCCGCGTTAAGCGTTCCGATGAAGAGGTACAGAGGATGCACCGGGTTTGGTTTGACCGGTGGCGGGTGGATAGACCGGCTCAATCGGATATGGAGTCACGTGGTCGAGGTGTAGAGTGCATTACTACTAATGGGGTTAATGGAGGGAATACTATAGGACAAGTAGACCGGGGAAGAGTAGGGAGAGAGTAAATGGGAGGAATTGTTAAGTAATAGAGGGGCGGCGTCGGACTTGTTCGGCCCGTGCCTTGCAAGTGGCAGCAGCGACCACCATCGGCGATTCAAGGCCGATGAAATTGAGCAGGATGAGCAGGATGTTGCGGGGATTCACCCCACGTCATTCCACCGTAGAGGACATGCCAGGTGAGGCTCAACAAATAGGATGCCTCCTTTTGACAAACCTCTGGCCTCTGTGGCCCTCCCCCTCCCCTCTAGAGCCCTCCATTAGGAGAGCGCGTACTTTGTTGCAGTGGAGCCTGGAGCCATTCTCGGGCACTCGCGCCTGCGCCTTTCTATTACAGCACACACCCCTCACCTCCCCTCCCCTTCATCTCTCAAGCTGATCCACTCGCCGCTTTTCTCTTTCTCATCATCTCTCTTTCTCTTTCAACCACTCCTCCTCCTACAACTTTTCCATCTCTAAAACGGCAAAGGGCTTTTCATTAGGTCGTTAGCCAACAACACCTTGTTGCAGCAGAGAAGAAGAGCACGGCACATCCTCCATCACCACCCCTGCTCCTCGTCCACCCCTCTCCTCTCAATCTCCCCACTCTCACACCACACACTTTCACAACATGATCACTCCCCGTCTCTCCTCGGCCTCGTCCCTCCTCCGTGGCGTTCGCACCTATGCGTCCGTCCAGAGCAACATTGGCGCCACCCAGGTGCCCATGTCCAACCTCGAGAAGGGCAAGTTTATCAACTACCAGCGCATCGAGGACAACCTCCAGATTGTTCGCAACCGGTGAGTTTTTTTCTTTGGTTTTGCTCTATTCTCTTTCTTCCTCTATCTTCTGGCCTACGCGCTTTGGCTTTGTTGTCCGGGTGTGCGTGTTGTGTGTGCGTTAGTCCGAGTCAAGATAGGAAACTGCGCTCCCCTGCTCCGGATAGCCGGCCGGGGTTTAGGCTGCACAGTTGGGCGATCAACTCATCTCCCATCGCACATTATGCTTCTCATCGTTGGGCGCAGCAGCTGTTCTTCATCGCCGGCCGTCTGCGGTCTGCGAAACCCCGACATCTCACTGGTGCTCTATACCGGCGGCCGTGGTTGGACGAGAGGGGATGCGTCACGTCACAGGACCCGGGCGAGGTGGAATTGCCTGGCGGAATCGCAGAGGGAGGAGCCATGGCCGTTCCTTGAAAGTCCCGGCTACAACCTTCCGACTCTACCCATCCATTTTCTCCCACATTCTCTCACACCTTGTCATCCACGTCCCGTGACCATCTGCTCCATTTGCCAACCCCGCTCCAACAAGAGACAACTGTCACTGACACCGATACAGCCTGAACGCCCCCCTCACCCTCGCCGAGAAGATCGTCTACGGCCACCTTGACGACCCGCACGGACAGGAGATTGCTCGTGGCCAGTCCTACCTCAAGCTCCGCCCCGACGTGAGTACATCCATGCATCGCCCCGCCGCACAATCCATTGCTAACATTTCCAGCGTGTTGCTTGCCAGGATGCCACCGCCCAGATGGCCATTCTCCAGTTCATGTCGGCCGGCCTTCCCCAGACCGCCGTCCCCACCTCGGTTCACTGCGACCACCTTATCCAGGCCCAGATCTCTGGTGTTCCCGACCTTAAGCGCGCCATTGACATCAACCGCGAGGTCTACGACTTCCTTGCCACCGCCTGCGCCAAGTACGGCATTGGCTTCTGGAAGCCCGGATCTGGTATCATCCACCAGATCATCCTCGAGAACTACGCCACCCCGGGTCTCATGATGATCGGTACCGACTCGCACACCCCCAACGCCGGTGGTCTCGGCATGGTTGCCTGCGGTGTCGGTGGTGCCGACGCTGTCGACGTCATGGCCGGCCTTCCTTGGGAGCTCAAGTGCCCCAAGGTCATCGGCGTTAACCTTACCGGCAAGATGTCGGGCTGGACTACCCCCAAGGACATTATCCTCAAGGTCGCCGGCATCCTCACCGTCAAGGGTGGCACTGGTGCCATCATCGAGTACACCGGCCCCGGTGTCGACTCGCTCTCGTGCACTGGTATGGCTACCATCTGCAACATGGGTGCCGAGATCGGTGCTACCACCTCCCTCTTCCCCTACAACGACCGCATGGCCGACTACCTCCGTGCCACCAACCGTGCCCCCGCTGCCGAGTACGCCAACGCCTTCAAGCACAACCTCACCCCCGACGAGGGCGCCGAGTACGACCAGCACATCACCATCAACCTTGACGAGCTCGAGCCCCACGTCAACGGCCCCTTCACCCCCGACCTTGCAACCCCTCTCTCCAAGTTTGCTTCCGAGGTCAAGAAGAACGGCTGGCCCGAGGAGCTCAAGGTCGGCCTCATCGGCTCGTGCACCAACTCTTCGTACGAGGACATGTCTCGCTCGGCTCACATTGCCAAGGAGGCTGCCGCTCACGGCCTCAAGGCCAAGTCGGGCTTCACCATCACCCCCGGCTCGGAGCAGGTCCGCGCTACCATTGCCCGTGACGGCTTTGTTGACACCTTTGAGGGCATCGGCGGTGTTGTTCTCGCCAACGCCTGTGGCCCCTGCATTGGTCAGTGGGACCGCAAGGACGTGAAGAAGGGCGAGAAGAACTCGATCATCACCTCGTACAACCGTAACTTCACTGGCCGTAACGACGCCAACCCCGCCACCCACGCCTTCGTCGCCTCGCCCGACCTTGTCACCGCCATGGTCTTTGCTGGTGACCTCACCTTCAACCCCATGACCGACTCGCTCAAGGGCGCCGACGGCAAGGAGTTCAAGTTCTCGGAGCCCAAGGGCCTCGAGCTCCCCCCTAAGGGTTACGACCCGGGAGAGAACATCTTCCAGGCTCCCCCTGCCGACGGCTCCAAGGTCGAGGTCGCTGTCTCGCCCACTTCGGACCGTCTCCAGATCCTCAAGCCTTTCGCCCCTTGGGACGGCAAGGACATTATTGACGCCCCCGTCCTCATCAAGGCCCAGGGCAAGTGCACCACCGACCACATCTCTGCTGGTGGCCCTTGGCTCAAGTACCGTGGGTGAGTAGACGAAATCTACTCGAAACTACATACTGACGCTCCAGCCACCTCGAGAACATCTCGCAGAACTGCCTGATCGGTGCCATCAACGCCGACAACGGTGAGGCCAACAAGGTCCTCAACCAGATGACCGGCGAGTACGGTGCCGTCCCCACTGTCGGTGCCGCCTACCGTGACGCCGGCATCCCGTGGGTTGTCGTCGGTGACGAGAACTACGGTGAGGGCTCTTCGCGTGAGCACGCCGCTCTTGAGCCCCGTTTCCTCGGTGGCCGCGCCGTCATTGTCCGCTCGTTCGCTCGTATCCACGAGACCAACCTTAAGAAGCAGGGCATGCTTCCCCTCTGGTTCAAGGACCCCAAGGACTACGACCTCATCTCGGGCTCTGACAAGCTCTCGATTGTCGGCCTCAACGACTTCAAGCCTGGGCAGGAGATCACCGTCAAGGGCAAGCGCGCCGACGGCTCCGAGTACTCGTTCCAGACCACCAACACCATCAACGAGGGACAGTGGGCTTGGTTCCAGGCCGGCTCGGCTCTCAACAAGATGAAGAAGGACGCCGGCATCTAATCTAGCAAAAGGCGTTCATAGTGATGTAGTGATATGCAGTCGGACTCCAGGCATTAAGTGGGGGGGAAAAGTGGCTTCTACCTGATGTTACCTATCATACGTCCGTTGAACATGCAAATGGGCATTGAGATGACCTTGGCCAGCCTCGAGCTGTGCAGCTCCCGTAGCGCTACACATACGTATTGCCCGGTTGCTCGTGATGACCGTTGTTATCTGAATGTGCTGATTCCAGCGAAGTTGTCGCGGAAGAGAACGACAGGCGAGAGGTAAAATGCAAAGTCGGCGGCGACGAGTGGGAGAGATCAATGAACTTCACATAGAACACTGTTGGTGAAACGGTATCATGCGTCGTTGCCATCGACGCGGCAGGGGTTCGACTCCCTTACAGTGTATTCTTTTGCTTTTTGCCTGTTTTTGACCGACCGTCGATCGGCCCTGCGGCTCCAGCACGGTACGGTGCAACGTACGAGACTCGACACATGTGATGGCATCACAATGCTCTCCCCAATCAATGTCGGAGCGCCGACGACCAAAGTGTCGGACCGTCGATCCCGTCAATGGGCCCCTGCACGCATTTCCCCAACTCTTAGACAATGAGGTGCGCTGCAACACCCGGAGAAACAGGGTAGATGACAATTGTGAGCTGGTGTACCGGGAGTGCTGGTCCTGAAGTCATTACTGCACCCGGCAGCTGGTTGGCCTCGAGAGGAGATGGCCTGATGGCCTCTGGGCGCATCAGGTCGTAGAAAACCAATACAAACCTCCCACGAGTTTCTTGACGTCGCCAAGAACATTGTGGGTAGACAAGCTGATCCTATGGATTTCTCCTAGCCATCCCTCCAGCAATTTACCTGCAAGCTCCAGCACTGAACAGCTTGCGAGTGAAGACATTCGACGACCGGGCGAGCCTCAAGGGCGCAGTGTGGACGGGCACCAAAGGTCTGCAGCTGTAATTCCCTCGCCACCGGATCCTCCGGCCGACACCCTTCCGAGATGAAGGTAGTCTCAATGGCCGCAGATGAGCAGGACACATTATCGGCACCGAGGCTGGGGACAGATGCCAAGGGCCCTGCGCAGGCCGCAGGCCGCAGGCTGCAGGAATGCAGAGATGAACGCGCGCTCAGATCTGCGCGGAGGCTCATGCGCTCCCCACTGGATTATCCCGTCCCATCTCTACTCCTCTACTCTGGCCAAGACGGATGAAGAGACAATGTACAGCTGCACGACCCGGAGATGGTGGGCGCATGGGCGGAAGTTGAAGAGAGGTCAAGAGTGCATACCGCGGCGTCGGGGGTTGGCGGAGACGCGCGACGCGACGTGGGAGCCCGGGGTCTCCGCACGGGCCACGTCCTGTAAACCCTAGTTGGGTGGCCATCCCATCACTGCCATCGCGAGCATTGCTCGTTCTCTCTTCCTCACCTTTCTCCTCCGCTCCCTCCGCCCTCGTCGTCCTCGCATCACATTCTACTCCATCACACTCCGCTTTCTCCTCCTTACACTGCGCCCGCGAGGGCGACTGGCACTTCTGGACGGCCCACTATGTCCCGACGCGAGCAGGAAGCCCTGCTCGCGCTATTCAATTCGTTCCGCCCCTCGCGGCGAGTCACCACGTTCGACCAGCTCTGCGATGGCAAAGTCCTGCTCGAGGTGGGTGAAATCTGCACGGCCTCGGTCCCCGTCGTGCCATTGCCACCGCGCTTTTCTGCGCATGTCTCTCAGAGCTGATGCCAGGTCATGCATTCCATGTACGCCGCCGGCCGGACACACACACACTGACATGCAGCGACGGCACCCACTTCAAGGGCGGCCCCAAGTCACACGCGCGTACCTCCGGCTCGGGCGTTACTGGGCAGGACAATTGGGTGTTGCGCATGAACATCATGTAGGCCGGCAAGCAGCTGGCGGGCGGGCTGACCACAGGAAACGCTTGTACCGCCTCCTGCTGAGCTACCCGCTCAACCACCCCAACGCCCCCACATTGGCGGTCACGACACTCTCTGAGCCCAACTTTAACGCCATTGCGCGCCTTCCGAAAAGCGCCGAGGGCACATCGGGCCTCACCCAGATCTGCCGCATGTGTGTGGCAGTCGGTGCGATGGGCCCCGCCAACGAGCGCGTCATTGCCAAGATCCAGGCGCTCGACGAGGGATCCATGGTCGAGCTCATGAAGACCATAGAGGGTGTCATGGCCACCCTTCCCAAGGGTCCCGAGGACGAGCCACACAAAGACTCGCAGCACGACATCAGCCCCCCCAACTCGGCCCTGCGCGAAGAGCGCGACCGCTTGTTGTCGGAGAATGACGACTTGCGGGCGCGCATCGAGGGCATGACGGAACAAGTGCAGGCGCTCAACATCAACTTGAACGCAGCAAAGGAGAGCCAAGAGACGTTCCGCCGCAAAACGATCGAGAACGAAGCAATACGGGCCAAGGACGGGCCGTCCGAGGCAGATAATTTGCGCACCGACCTGGCACGCGCGGAAGACGGCCTCGCGGAGACTGAGGCAGCACTAGAGAAACAGACGGCGCTTGTCGCCGAGTTGTCGCGCACGGTGGAAGAGTTGCGCGCCACCGCCACCGATGTCGGCAAGCTGCAGGACGAAATTGACGAACTGCGCCAGGTCGAGGACCGGCTGCACAAATCTGAAAACGTTATTGAAAAGTATAAGAAAAAGCTCGAGGAGGGCGCGGGGTTGCGCCGCGAGCTACGTACCCTTGAAGAGGAGAACGCGGCTTTGATCGACAAAAACTCACACCTCGAGAGCGAGATCAAGAAGCTCGGCGCGAGCAAGACGCTCGTCGACCACTACAAGAGCCAGATTGATGCGCTCGAGAAGAAGGCGCACGATCAAGCCGCCGAGTTTGCACACCTCAGCGTGCGGCTAGAGGAGGTGCAGGAGTCTCTTGCCGCCATGGAGCGCGAGCGCGACATGGTCCAAGAAGAGCTGCAGGCGAGCCAGGAGCGCGTCAAGGAGTTGGAGCACGCACCCAGGCGTCAGCAGTCGATGCTGCAGCTCGCCGACAAGAGTCTTGAGATCGAGCTCGAGCACTCGGACTCGGAGGACGGCGTCAGCAAGACTGATCTCAAGCTGCGCATTCGTGCGCTCGAGCGCAAACTCGCCGAAGTCAACGCGCCGCGCGACGAGGCCGACCGGATAGCTGCGCTCGAGCAGCTGCTCGCGGAGACGGAAAAGGCTCGTGAGCGCTACCAGAACGACTACATGGAGGCGAACCGGCAGAGCCAGTTGGCGCAGGCCAAGCTCGAGCACATCCTCACGGGGCGTGGTGGCGACAACACCCAGACGGCGCTGGCTCTCAGGCAACGCCTTGACGAGGTCTCGACCGAGCGTGACACGCTGCTCAAGGACAAGCAGGCAGCGGAAGACGCTCACGAAGACCTCGTGCGCCAGCTCACGTCTGCGCGTGCGGACCTCGGCCTTGTCGACAAAGACAAGCGCTCGATCATCGCTTCAGCGCGTGACGAGGCCAAAACGGAGACAGTCCAGTTCAGCGAGCAAGTGGCGACCCTCAAGGACGAGCTTGCGACACTGCGCGAGCGTGACCGCCTGCATCTTGAGGAGATTCGCCGGTGCGTGATGACCGAGACACAGCGCTGACGCCAGCTTGATGATGGACAAGATTGAGCTCCAGTCTGTTGGCATGGCACACAACCAGGAGGCGCTTGAGCGTGAGCGCAAGCTTAACGACCTGCGCACATCTCTCGAGGCCGGTGGCGCATCACCCCGCTCGCAGGCCCAGATACTTGACCTGCAGTCGCGCAACGACGTCCTCACGACCGAGGTCACCAGCCTCCACGACAAGCTCAAGAAGGCCCGTGCGTTCATCAAGAACCAGGACGCCCTCTTCCGCGCCGAGCATGACAAGAAGCTGTCTACTGGCTTCACGCAGCAGAGCCAGGACTTTGAGAACAAGATTGCCGCGCTCAAGAACGAGCTCAGCGTGGCCAAGGTGGGTCCGGCCGCACTTGCGGCCGGCACACGCGCCGGTTCCATAACTCCGCTGACAGAAGCACAATGCGCTCTCGATCGACAGCCGCTACCGCCTCGAGCAGCAGCTCATGCTGGCAGCCTGGCACGACTTGGGTGCGCGCGTTGTGCGCGACCACGTCGGCGCTGCGGGCTTGCGGCGTCCCGCTGTCCAGCGTCCCGCGGGCACCTCATGGCTCGCGCGACAGCGCAAGCACCAAGACGACGCTCTGTTCGCGCGGTGACGCCAAGGGCTGACCGCGGTGGCGCGCGTCGGCATCTTCATGATCCGGCGCTGCGGGAAGTGAGACTCCGGCAGGAGACTTCGCGCTTGTGCATATTCTATCTCTGTGACTTATCTTCGTGTCTATAATTCTCTATAAAGTCGAGGCGGATCCGCGCGCCGCAGTAGACGCCGACCTTCAAACTCGAGACAGACGCACGTTACCCACCCCTCCAAGTACCCAGCACTCTGTCCATACCATCACTCATTGCCCCGGCTCAGGCCCCACACTCCCTGCTACGACCACACTGTCCCTCTCCGGCCTCTACTTGCTCGATTCGACACGGCCGTTTCAGCTGTGCCATGCCCGCATTCTGCGATGCTGTACTAGACTTGCTCGTATGCAGAAAGTCTCCGTTGATACATACCACTGGTTCTAGTTTACAGCTCTTCCTTGGGTCGCGCCCGCGGCGGCACCTCGAGCACTTCGATGTCCTCCGGCTCGAGGGCGGGGGCGCGTACCGGGCTGTCAACAGGCCGATGGCCGGGCACATCGACCAGGCTATCCGCTGGTGGCTGAGCGTTCTTGGCCTCCTTATCGCTTAGTCGTTTCGACTTGACGGCCGAGTCCGCGCCGATGACCGGGAGCTTCTTCCCAACCTCGACCCTCCCTTGCGCGCCCTTCGCCGCGCCCTTGCCAGCCACAGCAGCCGCACTCGACGCCGCGCCCGCCGCTACGGCCGCGCCTCCAGCCGTCGCGACATCTCTCACGCCGCCTCCCCCCACCATGCGCAGGAGCTTGTAGCTGCCGCCGACCCACCACACCGCCGCCCCGCCCACGCGGTCCAACACGCGCTGCTTGACGACCCACAACACCGCGAGGAGGAAGCACGCGAAGGCCGCCATGATGAGCGCGCGGTCCCACCAGTCCGCGCGCTCGATCGCGCGCACAAGCTGCCCCGACGCACTCAACAGCGCCGTGTAGTTGTCGTACAAGCTCTGCGTGCTGCGCATCGTGGTAGTCGACTCGTCTGCAGTCAGCCGCGAGCGAGGAGAGCTACGCACTCAACATCTGCGTGCTGAGCACACTGCGCTCGAGCTCCGTCTGGAGGAGCTGCGTGGTGCGCCGCAGCGCGTCCGTCACCTCGTTCGTCTTGGTCTGCAGCGCGTCATCGCCGCTGCCGTTAGCTGTGCCGGGGTGGGAGAACTCACCCCACGACCGCGGGCTCGGCGCGCGGCTCGTCCAGTGGCTCGAGGAGCTCGTGCTTGCGCGCAGCCGCCGCGCTCGCCTTCTTAGCGGCGACGAGGGCGGAGCGGAATTCAGCGTGTGTCCTGTTATCAGCGCCGCTCTCGGCCGATCTGGTCGACGTGTTCTCCCCTCACACTGCGTACTCCCCCTCGAGCGCCGTCACGGCCGCGACGGCCGCCTCGCGCTCGCGCGCCGGCAGGTTCTCCGCCTCTTCGTGCGCCTCTTCGAGCGCGGCGCGCACGGCTTCGAGGTCGGAGCGCGCTTCGGCGGCCAAGTCGCGCGCCATTGCGACGGACGCGCACGTCCGTAAGCGCGGGAGCTGGAATGCGCGCACATCATTCAGCCGCCGCTGCAGCGGCCCAATGGGGCCGAGGGCGCCCAGCGCGCCGTTGGAGGTGTCTGGTTCGGACATGGTATGCGGATGTGATTGTGTCGAAAGCCAAGGCATGATGACGTTTCGACCGTCGAATCGTCTACCCAGACCCCCCGCGCGTTTTGGTTTGTCCCGTTCTTTCCGCTCACCAACATACCCACATGGAACCCGCAGAGTGCGCCGACAGGCTTGCGCGCCGAACGCCGCCGCGCTCGGCACCGACACATGTTGCGCACGCGCCGCTCGAGTCTCTCAGCGGCGTGGTGGGCGGGACGCCCTCGCCGTGGCCCCCATGGCTCGCCGACGCGATGCGGGATCCGGCAAAGGCCGCGATCCTCTCCGGCGGGTGCGCGGTCGCCGTGACGTTCGCGGGCATCGGGATCTACCGCCGCTTCCTGCGGCGCATCCCGAACGCGGACAGCGTGACGGCCGCGATGATCGACGAGAAGCGCAAGATCGTGGGCATCGTCACCCGGTGAGTATGGCCACGGCTCCGCTGACCGCAGTGTGGGGGACGGAGGTGCGCTGCGGAGACGGCGGAGCTGACAACAGACGGGTTTAGGCTGTACCACACGCCGGGGCCGTTCTGGCGCTTCCCACTCAAGCTGCGGTCGGTGCCCACGACCGCGAAGGGTGTGTATGCTCTCGCCCGCGCGCTGACACCAGAACTGAAGAATGAGACGCTGTCGATCCGCATCGCCGGCGTCGACGCGCCCGAGCTCGCGCACTTTGGTAACCCGGCCCAGCCGCACGCCAAAGAGAGCTTGCAGTGGCTCATCGACACGGTCGAGGGCCGGCGGGTCAAGTGCCAGCTCCTGCGCAAGGACCAGTACGGGCGCATCGTCGCTGTGCCGTGGATCTCGCGCGCTGTGCTCCCGGACAAACCGCTCCCACTTATGATGCTGCGCGAGGGCATGGCCGTCGTCTACACGCAAGGCGGGGCCGAGTTCGGCCCGTGGGGCCTCGAGAAGCTGCAGGCAGAGGAGGATGACGCGAGGAAACACCGGCGCGGGCTGTGGGGCGGGCGCAGAGTTGAGAAGCCTGGTGATTTCAAGCGCCGGGTGCGGGAGGGTGGCGAGGAGGAGGCTACCATGATCGACATGGGCAAGAAGCGCTCCTGGTGGGAGAAGCTGGGGCGGTGGCTCGGCGGCAAGACGTAGCATCTCCTTCATAATGGATGTCGCGGAACAAACAGCATGACTAGTAACGACCGCATGTATGCATTGGGCGCAGTGTGCTTGGTTGAGGAAAGCGGCGAAGTCTCTCTTCCTAGTTGCCTCTCTGGTTGAAAAGCCACAGATCAGAATGCAAAAGGAGGGCTTCTCCGGGACTCGAACCCGGGTCAAGCACAGTCGTGTTCACGACGGGACAGCCAAAGCTGACGTAACCCGAAGCGCTTATCGTACCCCTGGACCAAGAAGCCTTCGATGGAAGTCAGCCGATGAAGTTGTATACCATCCTAACAATGATGGAATACGGCGAGCCTCGTTGAAGTTGGAAGTGATGTAGTGTTAATGCAGCAGGTCGTCTATCACACCGAGTTGTTACGCCCCCCCGCCAAATTGTATTGACCACCAGGAAAAGATCCATCGCCGTCGGGACGGTCGTAGATACAGACAATGCGGTTGAAAGTGGTGACTCTTTTCGTTCGCAGAGCGAATGGACTTGCTTCACTCACTCCCTCTCGCCTGCCAACTCAACCCTTCTGGGGAGCTGAGCAGGTGGGCTTCAGTCGAGGGTGATGAGCTGGCGACAAAGACCAGCAGAAACCAATGCGTTCCAACCGTGAGGAGAGATTGCGGTCTGCAGGGGAGGTGGAGACAAACGAGACAGACTTGCTCACCGGCCTGATCAGATTCACGCCCGCTTCGCTACGACTTGGTACTCACTTTTCAGATCATGCTTACACGTACAGGGCGAGGGCAGGAGCGCAGTGCTACTTGTGTCAGCGGGGCGGTTGCGGCGATACATCGTTTGTGATGTCCTGCAAGTAACGAGACAAAACTCAAAGTGGGGCAGTCTTCCCAGAAACGTCGTGGGGCAGAACCAATTCCTCAGCATGCCAACTGTTCAGTCACGTCATACCTCGTGCGTCGTCATCTCGGCCGATGGTGAAAAATCCCATCCTGCTCGTCACCGACTCATGAATCATGTCGGAGTGCGAGGTGGCAAAGTGACTAAGCAGTGCTGAAGATGCATGTATAAATGCGTGAGCGTTGGGATGCAGAGAGCTCCCACACTGATTCTGATTCCTCACATCTTCACACCATCACACAGACAGTCCGAGAAGGCTAAGTCCATCGATCGCCGAGCCCGACCCCCGATTACCCAATCGCCCTCGAATCTGCTCCCGTCCCCATTTATCAACACCCCGACACCTCATCATCACCCATCACCGCACTACACATACAGCAAAATGGTCAAGGCTATCGAGTCCACCGAGGAGTTCAAGCAGCTTGTGAGTGCACTACGAATACCACGGCATTGCAAGGTAGCAGGAGAGGCGTACGCGGGGTGTGGAGCAGCCTTCTTCGCACCAGGCCTCTGCGCCCTAGGATCTCTGAATGGTCGGACACTCAGGCTTCAGCGGCACGGGCGACGAGCATCCGCCTGATACACTCTGTTGTCTACGGTTGTGAGACCGAACATTTGCCATGCGCGCCGCCGGCCTCGAGGTCCGTTGTTCCGCAGGCCGAGCTGGGTCCGAGCTGGGCCAGACAAGATGAACAGGAGCGCCGGGCCCGGGCGCCCAGAGATGGGAGAACATGATTCTGCTCGCCTCGCACCACCCGCTCGTCTCGAAAGCATCCGCCAGCCCCCACGGCAGGGGCAACCCCGCTCGACGGGGAGTACGGCTCCGTGACTGTGGATGCCTTCCATTTGCTGCTCGTGCCGCGACACACCCGACCAGCTCTTCGCCCCGTGCTCCTGCCTAGCCACCACTGTGACACTGCTGATACCAGATCAACTCTGGCGACGTCGTCGTTGTCGACTACTGGGCCACTTGGTGCGGCCCTTGCAAGCTCATCGGCCCCCACTTCGCCAAGCTTGAGGGCAAGTTCCCCAACGTCAAGTTTGTCAAGGTCGACATCGAGGAGCAGCCCGTGAGTATTGGTGTTGTCGTGATGGCGTCTGTGTCACGTGTTGGAGGAGTTGCTGCTGGTGATTACACCACGTTGGGCGGGGCATTCCGCTCTGGATGCGTTTTCGCATTCCTCGAGCGCAGCTTCACCTGCTGCCCGAGCCGAAGGGCCCAATTTATGCTGGCGCGGACGGTGAGGGCGGCGCCCGCTTGGCGCGACGTGCTGCGGCGCGTCAATGCCCCTTCGGATCGTGCTGGAGGCTCGTTCATCGCCCGCAGCGCGGTGGGCAGGACCAGGAGAAGGTTGGGCGTGGGGACCCACCCAAGCGCGACGCGTCTTGACGCGTCTCACCTGTCGTCCATGACTTGTTCATTGTGCGCACGCGCGGTGAACGTGTATCGCCTATTGCACTTTTCTGCCACACCATCACTCCTTCTGTCCCAGCCGTTGCATATCCCGGGCGTGACAGGCCCGATCCACCCAATTTTGGACCTGGAGTGAGATGTCCGCAAGCAAATGCCGGAACGTCGTCCCACTCCTGGTGCCTGCGTCCAAACACCCTCCATTCCCAACATCGCTCCCGCATTCCGCATTTTTCATGCGGCTCTCCATACTCTCGGCGACTAAAGAGGTCCGCGGGCCTTGGTTCTGGTTCCACTGCATAGCACGACCTTTTTGCGCATTGCGTAAGATGGTTCCCGCTGTTCTCGTGTTTATTCGTAACATGAGCGCGGGCTGGTCGTCGAACGACGTGGGCGGACATTTTTCTGGCTGGCTGAGCGGTTGACCAGTTGAGGCTTGAATGATTGACGATGCGGGTGCCCATCAGGCGATCAGCGCATCGCACAACGCTTCCTCGGGTCCAGCTACCTGGTAGTCATTTCCGCATGCCTCCTCTCTCTCTCCCTCAACCCCCTTCCAGTTCCGCAGCGGGTTGGTCAGCAGCCTTCCGCGAGGCACGTCTGGTGACACTGGAATCAGCGCTTGCTTTTCCACCAGAGCCCTTCACCGCTTTCATAGACGCCGGCGTTTGGACTGTGACAATGTTGGAGCCAAAGCTGACGCCTCCCAGGAGATCGCCCAGTCCGAGGGCATCCGTGCCATGCCTACCTTCAAGGCTTACAAGGACGGCCAGGTCATTGACGAGTTCACCGGCGCTGTTCCGGCCAAGCTGACCGTGAGTGTTTATTGGGAAATTGAGGCAACATGGAGGTTTGGGGCGCCGAGACATTGGTTTGGCGCTTGCTGGCCGGCATGATTGAGAAGAAATCAAAGGCAGGCACAAACAATCATTGCCCATTCATCAGCCCTATCTCGGCGTATGAGGAATCATAACGCTAACACCGCAGGCTCTCCTGGAGAAGGTCGCCGCCCCGTCGGCCTAGGTCTAAGCAGTGCATTTCGGCCATATCCGTTTGTAGTACGGTCTCGTACCTCCGTCTGAATCCACAGCCGAATGGGACGATGGTGATGGTGCCGGCGAATGGATTGTCGAACTATGCATCATATCATGCGTGACAGCATAGAGCCGGGCTAGGACAGGGGCGGGGGACGGGCAGCAGTTGGGTTTGGAACGGGGAGCGGCGGCCCTCGGCCCTCGGCATGTTTCAGCCGTACCTTACGTACAGGCTGAAGGCTGCGCGCTGTATTCTCGGACGCTGTTGAGTTTTAGGCGGCCTGCTAGGTTGCTGCATTGCATGTTGTGGGGATGTGGAGATTCAATCGTGAGGCAAGACAGTGGTTGCGCCAAGCTCGGCGCGCGGCGAGCACGTTCGTGACTGACGGATGAAAAACAAGTGTCGGACCTCGGAGTTCTGAAACGAACCCAACATGTTCTAAAGGCGTCGCCGCCCACGGGCAATTGGCCGTGAGCGTTAGTAGGGCACGCGCACGGCATATGTACACGCACGATGCGGTTGTGTTGGTTACAATCTGATTCTGCGCGCTATACGCCAGGTTGCCCGACGCCATATCGCAATGCCGCGCTGCGCTGCACGCCACTTGGCCACGGTGCCAAGGCACAGGCACGGGACTGATTGGATCAGAGTCTGGACTTGGGTGAGCTCGGGTGTTTCAGCTTTGAGACCCAGTCTGCATTCGGATCCGGGCGTGTGTGGGGCATGGCTGCAAACACCACACGCTGCGACGCTGCCGGCGATGTCAGCTGTCGGCTGTCGGATGCAGAGGCTGTAGAGTGCGATATTGTAGCTCCGGCACCGCCTTTGCAGCGCTGCCCTCTCGCTCCCGAGCCCTTCCCCCCGTCCAACCTCGGCCGTTACGTGCCCCCCACCCGCTCCATCTCTCACAGTTCACGCGTCCACCGGACAGAACCATCATGTCCCACGCGCTACAGGCCGAAGTGAGAGCGATGCGGGTTACGGAAGGGCTGAGACCGATAGGTTGTGGATGCCCGTGAACGCAGGAGATGCAGGACAGGGCAAGGTGCACTGCTTAACCTTGCTCTGGCTCATGATTACGTCCGCGAGGCCAATCACTCCGGCCGCAGCCCTGCAGGCCACTCTTCCGGTCTTGTGACGACATTCTGCATCCGAGGCTTGCAGGCCTGAGGGCCTGGCGGCCTGCTGCGGCATGCGTTTGTGGCTCCTGCGTTCAGGCTCTGTGACGTTGTACCCGATCGCATTCTGTACCCCGGCTGCGCCCGGCTGCGGGCCGTCGGACCCGAGCCGATGCATGTGAGATATGATGGCGGATCGAAGGGGCCGAGGGTCAAGGCGCCTCGTTTCGGTGTCGGGCCTCCGGCCTGCGTGGGTGCGATCGACACTTGACACACTGCCATTGTGGTACTGCGGGCATGCGGCACTGCAACACTGCCGCTATCATTGCCACTGGCACTTGACGCACGGGCACTTGCATTGGCACTTCAGGTCATGGTGCTTGGATCTTGCTGCTGGGGGCTGGGACGCTGGTCACTGGCGACCGTGTCGCAGTGTTGCGGAGAGTTTAGACGAGCTGAAGCATGTGACTGAGTGGGCTGTGGCGGGAATGCGGACGGAGCGCGCAAGCGCGGAGGTGGCCAGCTGGCCAGACTCGCAAGATCGCAATCAAAGGTACCAGGACCCCCGTCTAGCAGGGTTTACTCGGTATATCCTCGGGGCAGGAGGGCAATGAGATATTCGGTGGGATACTGCACGCACTGCTCTCTGTATCGTTCTGGCGTGATGGTGTACCGCGGGCAACTGTCAGTCGGGGCCAGTATTACTACGGGAATTTCTTCTGCAAAACTTGCGTGAGAGCATGGCGAGGGCAAAAGACATGGACAACCAACAGACACTGAGAGAGAGCAAGGAGAAGAGAGAGTTTGAGCACCGGAGATTACGGCATGGATAGTCGACTATTGCTAGGAATATCAAACTGCCGTTACCCTGAGATACCCCCGTACCCCGTGTGTCAGACGCAGGAAATCAGGAGAGTGACTGACCTCCCTCTCTCAAACTCAGGCACGCCGAGCGCCCTGACCCCCGTGTGATCGTCGTTTGAGCAATTCCGTTTTACCCCTGCGCCCTCTTGCGCCCTCTTGCGCCCCTTCTTCCTTGTTCCCCTTCTTGTGCGCCCTTTTGTTGATCCCCCGCACTCTTCCTCCTGCTCCTCCTGCTGCTGCTGCTCCTCCTTTTCTTGCTTTGCCCACCAACGGTCATCTCGTCGTTAGACGACTGCCCGTCCGTCCAGCAGCTCACACAGAACGCGCCGCTCGCGCAACTTTCGCAAGTGGGCACTCCCGCCCCCGGTCCGCCGAAGATGCGCACCCAGCCGCCTTACCACCCGCCAGCCGCCAGATCCGCTCCCAACCCATTATCCTGTCATCCTGCGCCAGACCACCCATTCTACGCTTCTACCCCCGGCCACCCTCCTCCCCTTCAACCCTGCAAATGACCTCAGCCACTCGGGCCCTCTCAGCCCTCCCGGCAGCCCTCCCTAGAGCCTGGACCTAGCTTGTCGGGTGTCATGTCACAGAATGTGGTTTGATGCAACGAGGTCTAGGGCTAGGAAAATAGGAGAAGAGATTTGAACTTTGTTTGTGCGTTTACAATAGAATAGCGTATGATACAAACGCAGCGTATCATCAGGTGTGCGCCGGGCCGGGCCGGCTTACGGCCTGGCGGCATGCGGGGTACGGCGACGTAGACTCGCACGCAGTCTGCAGCGTCTGTAGCGTCTGTACAAGTCTAGATTTCGTTCCCCTGTACCTTCAGATTCGTTCCTCGCCGATACCTCGTGGCTCAAGTGGCGCCGGCCTTCGACGACAGCCTCCAGAGCTCTCCAGCCTCTACTCTGGCTATTGCTGCACTGCCGTGCTCTCCTCTCTCTCGCCTTGCTCTCCTTCTCTCTCTCTTCGGCACTCTGTTTCTTTTTCTCTCCGTTTCTCTCTCCCTCTTCCCCTCTTCACTTTTCTCTCTCCAACTCTTTGACTTTGGGCTACAGGCTGGCCTCGCCTCCACTGTTGGCTTACTCCGCCGGCGTCTTGCCC